CGAAAAAAGCGAAATCTTCCAGCAACCAAAGATGGTTTTTTTCTTGTTCCTTCTAACCTTTACAACCTTGGGTGGGTCTACGCTGACTACATTAATTGCTTCAATTTTGAAAGTGGTTTGCCTGGTGATCTTTTTCAGGTTGGTACTTCCTCCCAAACTAGTTTGAGGAGTCTATCGTTTGTCGCTGTAAGTCCATTTTTTGCACAATCTCAGGGTTTTTAATTCATTTTTCGTTGTTGCAACTGTTTTGCTACATATGCTGTTCTGTAGGTTGTAATTTTAGTTGCTTAATTAAGATCCCAGGGTTTTAATAAGTTTCTTAGCTATCATCCATCAATATGTATTCTTCCTTTTATCCCTGGTTGAGCCCAGATACTTGAAGCGCTCTAATATTTCGAAGTTATAGATGTTTTCTCTCGAGTTGTTTTAATTAACGCATATATATTTAGACTTTTCTTCATTTACTTTTAGAGCCACCTCGTTAGTTTCGATTAGTAGTAGCTAAAGTGCGACTAGTAGCACTTTAGGCCCTCTATTCGTTAGGAGTACTTTTCCGACCTGGATGGGTTTTACTGGTATTGGCATTTTGACATGAGAAGCAGGATTACGAATCAAAACAAGCAGACAAGCTGGCTTCCGGGGAGGTTGATTATCCACTGCCCATGAAAATAACCCATTTGAAAAGGAGAAGCATCAACGTAAAGTCTATCAAATTGGCTAAAAAGTAAAACTGGTACTTGTGATTTGAGGAAACCATTGTTAAAACCATAAAATATATCAAAAATAAAACGTTTCTCTATCCATGTTTATCTCATCATACAAGATCGTCTAGGTTCATTCAAAAAAAAAATATATATTTTTAATTTCATTTAAAAACACGGTAGCCAACATTTGTAAATACTTTTCGGTAGGTCACCCTATAATCCACGTAAAGCATGTCTACTTATTCATTGAGAATTACCGAAAGCAGGGTGAATCCGTTTTAAGCATTTTTGGCTTGGTCCCATGGGGAGTCAGTCTTTAAACAGACGGTCTGTATGCAGTAGGTAAATTCAATACTGGCATTGTGTATATTCGTTTTAAATATTTTAAATATTCATCCGGCTATAGAAGCAGTAATTAATCTATTGTCAAGTTAATTCTTTGTTGAATTGTCTTCCTTATGGCGGCGATTTTAATTTACTTGTAAGAATTCTACTACGCTTTTATATTTACATAACTTCTGTATGCGCTAAGCGGAATAGTCATAAGAAATTCATGGCAATTCCAGGATTATATCCTTTAATTTTATCTCAGATTGTGTTCGCAGCTTTTCGCAATTGAATTAGTTATGTTTACCGGGTGATCTAGCTTAAATTATTAGTGGTTTCTTATGATTTTTTCCAGTTTCTGAATTATGTTGAAAATAAAAATTGAAATAAATTTCAAACACAGAAAAATGCATGTAAGTGTAGCAAACCAAAAACATACGTTGCAACCATAACTTTTTATTAGCAAACCAAAAAAGCGTTCTAACCGGCAGCATAAAATTTGATAAGGGAAATGAAACCCTCTGTAGTTATGTTGGGCCAAAATCAAACAAAAAATGCTCACAAAATGTCAATAATTTATTAAGCTTTATTTACTATTTATTATTAATATTAGTTATTATTTTACTTACATTGTAATTATATTTATTATCAAATTTATCAACTCTTAATTTAATTAATGTATTAGGTTATTTAAGTTTCAAATAAATTACGAACTAATAATCAATAATCAGTATGAACTCTGGAACTTGAAATCGTTGATTTCTTGCGGAATATTGTTCCATTCGTCTAATACTGCTACTATTAAGTCATTTTGATTTTCAGGTGAATTGATGCGGCGGTGAACTGCTCAAGAAAGAGATTTTCGATAGGATTTAGGTCTGGAGAGTTTGCCGGCCCGGTTCTTGTTCTACTCGGATGCGGTCGAACATTCTTGTCTATGATGATGAAATTAGCTCTTAATTCATTGCGTAATAGAAGGATAATTGGCTGAAAGCCGTATCAATATACAAATAACAAATATTCTTCTTGTCGAGTTCGTCGATTGCGTATAATTCCTCCCCAAAACATTGCAGTTCCTCCTTCATAGGGAATAACTCCTCCAAGAAAATTAAATCTTTGTTGATGGCCTGGTTTCGTTCAATGTCTTCGATCATTGTTCTTTTATTCAATTATTGTTTCATTTGTAAACAAGAACCCACCTGCCACTACGCCAATAGTCACTCTTTATGGGCAAGAGCCCGCTATAAGCGTCTCATTGTCTTCAGATTAGAGTAGGAACACGTAAATGTCGCCTTGAACAAATTTTCTGTGTGAACTTAATCTTATCACAGACGTCGATAAAACACGGCACAATGTCTTGTTACATATGATTTACGATAATATCAATAAGCATAGGACCAATCCAAAATATTCCAAATACAACCAACTTTTTGGAATTGCTATAAAATAAACCTCTTTATTTTTTAAAGTTTCCTAGCTTTGTTGGTAGTCAACTATTATTGTTTCAACGTACCACCATGAAAAAATATGGGAGCCAAATTTGGTGATCATGGAGCTCCGGTTTGATAATCTATCTATCCTTCCAACTCAGCAGCGTCGATAAAAAACATTTCAACATCTTCATATCTTGCTATCGAAATGGACTGGCTTTACATCCATTGGAATATGCATGCTTACTCCAATGGCTAATGGAAGGTCTGCAACTAACGCAGGAAGTTGATTAATTGAATAATAAAAAGTAATTTCTCCATTGAAATATTATTGGAGAAAATAAGAAACTATTAAATGATTTTATTTATTCCACCCCATTCATTTTTTTGTGTCTGTCCACCTGTTCTGATTTTTTGTGATTCTGATCGCTGTGCGCGTTTTAAGTTCGTAAGTTCCAATGAAAAGTAGGCCTACTGATAGATCCTTATTGAATATCGTTTGCGATTGCGACCCCAATAAAATTGTTTTATTTTGTGTTTTACCTAGAACCCCCGTCAAAGAACTAAACTTTTTTTTCAAAATCATTATGGTGATTCCTTAGAATTGCTGATCAACTTAAATTTGGTAGGCTTATATATCTACACACATATTTATATTATATATTACACATATATTTGCTGGACTTTTATTTATTCTTGCCGGAATCTGGTGCTGACTTATTTACATCGATTTCCGGAGCTACAACATTTCGTTTTCTATGTAGAATAATTTCTCCTCAGATGTTTCCACTCACGATTTACTAAAATTGAACTATATAACTCAATAGTCTAAACTATTACAGCATAGTCCTACTAATTATCAATCTCCGTAATGATCTAGTATACTTACTTTCGTTATCACGTAAAACAAATCTCTGTTGAATAAAATTGATATTTTCCGGCACCCCTCGAAATAAGCACTGACTCGCATCATTGTCTTCCCTGGGGATCCAATTCATTGCCGCCGTCTTTTTTTCCCGCTAATATTGCCTAACACAATCTTTCTTTCTTGATCCGAAATAAAAGTTTATTTTATAGTTGTAAAGAATACTTGATTCAAACTTTAGTATATATTGGTGCCAGTGGTCCATTTAAGCAGCCAAAACGTATCAAAAACAGATTATTTAAAGAAAAGTTTTAATTGGATTTAAAAAAGTATTTCATCCCTTCGCATTTTGTGGTATTTAAATTGAGTTTTCGAAAATGTGATATCTAAGTCTGACATGAATATAAATCGGCCTTATTACAATACTTAATTTGCTTTATATGGAGTAATAGGCGTGTATTTTGATACCTACCTCTGGGTAGCGAATGAAGCATTTGCCGGTGCTTACACCATTTGTCTTTAATTATAATTTGGCAGTCCTTAGTAATTCTTAAATTTTGCTTAATAGTATTGAAGAAAAAACGACTTTTGGCAACTCGCTAAAATACTAGCAGGATAATAAACTAGTGGAAAATAATAGCTAAATCAATAATTGTCAAATAATGGTTAATTTTGCCTTTGAATAAGTTGTCGATTTTTTAATGGAAATCTCAAGTCGGTTGGTTCCCTGACAATAGCTGCACATAGTGTGAAATATGGATGCTTTGAAACATACATCAAGAATGTTGCGTAGTCTGTGGCTGAATCAAATCCAATAATTATATTTTTTAAACCACCCTTTTAGAATACCTAATACGTTTATGACATGCTATAGAATTGCTTAGAATTGCCAATCTTGCGGGTCACGCCATTATAAATAATAAATAACTCAAATAGGACACCGATAGTTAAAAGTTCGTGATTCAATGAATTGGTATTGTTCAGACATAACAGCTTTTCAGCGATAAAGTTATCAGTACGTAATCTCCTGGTGAAACAATTGTCGGCGTTGAATGCTACACTTTACATCTTACCGCATAAAGTTTCGTTCCCAATATTTTGAATTATTTATTATCTGTCACGAAAATCAAAGTGGAGTATGAAACATCGATTTACAATTTAATGGCAGATTGGATTTATAGACAACGATGAGCCTATGATTTAATGACAACGCCTTTAGACGAGACAGAGCTGGATTGTCTGCTAAAATAAACAAGTTCTGTAATCATCCAGTTCTAGGGGTTGTTTTTACATTTTGTCCTTAACTGTATCTCTATATAAATATATTAAAAAAATCTGTAGATTGTTTGTACTTTAGACATAATACTAGGTAAAATTTTACATGCTCAATTAAGGATCAGGTTTATCTTTTCAATTAATTTTGAGCTTCACTGGCGAGTAGTTTAATTTTCGTGGGGTCCCTAAAGGTCATATGCTAACATTTCCATTTTATTATCGTCGCATTTCGTGTTTCCCTAAGGATAGATTAAGCATCTTGCAAATTAACATTAGGTACTGTTTGAGTTGTCACTAGGAAACATGTTTTAGATCATTTACTATTACCAAAAAATTTAATTTGATAAACAGGTACTTATTACAAGTTATCGCTAAAAGGTAATTTGTCGAACTTTACAGGTTGCCGAATCTCCTAGTAGAAGCCAATTACCTTTAGTAAGTCAAAGAGAGGACCTCCAGCCCTTTAGCCACAAAATTTGGAATCTTTCTAGGTTGCCTTTAGACGCTCCAGAGCGAGCAAGTTTTATGTATCGCCAAGATCTCCACAAGCGATTTCTAATTGGATCCGGTACGTATTGCATTGTTTTGTTATTAAGAATCAAACGTTTATGCTGTTCTGCGCTCCGATGATTCATGTTCAATTAAAATTCGTATATGAATTTTAATTTGAATTATTTTATTGCAGATGAATCAGATGCTCTGCTTCGAGCTCCAGTTAGTTTAGCTTTAGGGTTGAAACCAGCTTTGGACTGCAGCTCATGTTCTACACAAAGCGGAATAATGTATACTCCTTCTGAAGCTGGCAATAAAGTGACTTAGTTTTTCAAAGTAGCAATTCGCTCATTTGTACCACAATGCCGACATCCTAATTATCAAAAAAATTACTTCAAATTTTACCTATTTTCTGGTTTCTACCAGAAATATATCTATATATCCAGAAAATTTAAATCTACTATTCATATTTGAAAATATAACTTCTGCGATGTTGACCCAAAATAATATTATTTCATACATCTACATATTTAGTTTCTAAAATGAATTTCATAACATTTGTTGTTTTGTTTCTCATGGTTTAATTATATTAACTACATTTTTTATAATTTTTCGCAATAAAACATTTTTTTCTTTTGGAGAAATATCGCTATTAATTAAATGGATTTTGACTTGAACTTTTCTACTCACATTTTACACATTTTGTATTTTAAAGATCCTTTGGACTTTTTAACATATAAATGCATTTTACTATTAAGCAGAGAGCTACTGCTGGAAAAGGCTCTCAGGGACTCCATACGTTTTTGCATAATAATTGTTACAGTCGAGAAAAATCTTTATTTTAGAACATTTTAAATATGAACAGAAAGGCATTATTTACAGTTGTGACATAAAGGCACGACACGTTGCAAGCAAATGGATAATTCGCACTTGAATCAATAGTTGTGTGACTTTTTGTATTTTATTTTCTTAAGGTAAAGAAACTCCAAAGATATGAGCTCATAGTATTTATTCCGAGTTTATGAGATTTGTGTTATTCGATTGTTAAAGTTTTGGCATCTTTAGAGAAGGATTAGCTTCAAATATGATGAAATGTTCACAAAAATCGTTAAACATTCAGGCAAAAAATGCACATCTTGCAAACTAAAGCAAACACGAATTTGAAGTTTTTGCCATTTTTAGAAAATGCTTGGCTCTCAGAAAGCGAAAAGTTTTCCAAAAATATCTCAATATCCCGAATTTTTCCTGAATTTGCATTTTTTTTTAGTTCTCCCCTTTAAAACTTCTTAGTTTTAATTGAATTTTACCATCATTAGAACGGACTTGGACGGATTTATACCAGCTTAGCAAATATCGGTCTCAAAATGGATGTTTTTCCTCAATCGCGTTCTTTCAAAAATCATATTTGCTTTCAAAGCTGTACTAAATTTACAAACTATCAGAGTGCAATGCTGTTATAACGGATGTAGAAAAACTACGATCTTAAATTTTAATTAGAAAAGTAGAGATTTGCTAATTAGGATGTCGATATATAATTTTCTCAATGAAATTGATGTATGAATGGTAGATGTTGATTATTTATACTGTTATACGTAGAATTACTCAAATGTTAAAGCATTATATGAATACGTATATAGCCTCAGTAGATAATCAATTAAGGCAATCCAGGGCCTGTAAGTGCTAAAAGTGGGACATATCAAATATATGCTACATTCAGATGACATGATACTTATTTCAATACTAAAGTTATTATAATATTTGTGAGCGCGGCGTGTGGTGCTTTATATACAAATAAATATCATCAGTTGTACCTAGTAAGTAACTTCTAGCAGGTCACTAGAAATGTCCATAACATTTCCTTCGCTGTATACTCAGTATATTATTTCAAATAAGTCAATATAAAATACAAATACAGAGTGCTCCAATTCTTCAGAGTACTCAGTCTGAAATGGGTACCCACTCTGGAAGTATACAAAATTTTCTCAAACGTATGAATCGGTGTGATAAATCTTTCTGCGTTCGTATCCTCCTAAGATAAATTTTAAAATAAGTCTCGTGTCATACTACACTCAGCATCCCAGACCCAATTCATAGAAGAGATTAGTATACTAAGCTCTAGTATTAGTGAATAAACAGCGGTCAATTCTTTGCAATCACACCTTCACAACATAGACTAGAGTTTAAAAGTAGCCATAGCTCTTGGCATATAAAGGCCTACAGGCGTTTGAAGAAGGAGACTGTAATTAGATTCAGATAACTATCCTATTGTGAATATCAAAAGCATTTCAAATTTAGATGCAACTTCAGGTAGCATTGGGTTATTATATATAATAACATTGTAAAATAATATAGGCCTTTAGTATATATAGCAATATCTTCTACATTTTATTTAAATATGCACTCTATAGTGTAGATTCATTCATTCAATACATTCATATTTACAGCCTTTATAAAGTGACATGTAATTTTGTAAAATATTGTTTTAGACTGTAAATTTGAATTGAATTATGCCCTAAAATACGTACTCAGTTTTTGCCCTGCAACGCTTCAATTAAATGTAATTTTAGGACGTTGAGCGTTGACGGTTTGAAAGAATGCTGTTCGATTAAATAATGTGTTTTGTTAATAAAGGAATAGTTTTCTTTTGATATTTTGCCTATAGTAGCGCCAAAAATATACATAAAATACTATTAAATGTGCTTATCAAGTTTGAGTTTTTCTTAGTCTGCTTTAGATTGTAAATATAGGGGTGACAATAAACTGCGGCTGTGGGAACTTTTGTGCTCCCCTGTTTCTAGGAGCTGGGCTAAGGCTCATCTCATCTCCCACAGCTCCTCCTGCAGCTACAAGGTGTTATTGAAGGCAACCAGCTCTGCAACTGCCAAACAGGTTAGTTCTTATGTTTGCGACTGTATCACATCCGCAAAGCACGTCCTCTGGAGTTGCCTCCTCATAGCCACAGAATCTCCAGTCTCCATGACTTCCTAGGCCTATCCGTTTAAGGTGTCCTCTCAACAGTGTCCTGAGCGGAAACTTGTGAGTAGATGCAGGTTTCCTTTAATCACTGCTACGAATTCTTTTCTTGAATTTTATGTATATTCTAGTGTGTTCGCTGTACCAGTTATTAGTAGTTGTTGGTTGTAACAGTTTTTATTGCTACTGAAAAGAATGCAAGTTGTCATTAAAGAAAACTGATTTTTCTTTTGCAAGAATTATTTTCAAGAAAATGGAGGAAAGAGAAGTTATACTGTTAAATAATGAAGTGATTCTTGTTAGGATATTTTTAGACCGTCATTCGGCATACGCTAGTTTAGACGAAAGTCAAGTAAAAAAGCAAAATCACAATTAAAATCGTTATGGACTAGACCGATGTTCTTAAAAAGTGCAATTCTTCCAATTCCGAATCTAGCCCTGACCAACACGATATGGAAACGAAATCATCTGGTTCTACATTAAGCGATGAAATTAAATCCTTTTTAAGGCACACAGATTCAGATCAGAAAGCTTTAAAAGGAATTAATTAAATTGAATTATTGAAATTATTTTAAAAGTAGGACAAAAAACAAGAAAAAGCTCAATTCCGAGTTATACATGCTTGATCAAGTATTAATAAGCATACCGGTAAATTTTAACAGTCTACGATGTCAAATATGAACAAAACAATTTTAGAAGAAGAATATTATTTGTGAGGTCCAACCGACTTTTCCATCGTAAGGAACAAACACCGTCCGTTTACACACTACTTATAAGTATTTTTTAAGTGGAATTATTTTAGCTTTTCGAACACCAACAACAAATAATTTGAAATTGGAATTTCCAACAAAACTAACTTCTAAAAAGATTGTGAAGAGTGTAAAGGCACAAACCAGAAGGAATAGTCTTTAAGGCGGAAATAACACTGAAATAATAGGAATTAACAAAATAGTGGACCTCAGTGAAAAGGGAATGAAAGTCAGAAGAAATCTCAGTTAAACATACTTTTCTCAAAATTCCCCCAACTCCTCCTCACCCACGATTAAATTAATTTCTGTATGAGAGTCCATATTTTAACGTTGTTCCATTTAGTATTACCTTAGTTTCAATCCTTATATACTTACTTACTACTTACTTATGATAATTGTATCTACCGTGCAACCAGTCGAAGAACAGTATGAAGCAGTGGATCGTTTGCACATCTTCTGTCTTGTAGAATACAACAAACAAGGAAAAAGATAAAGATAGTGAGCTTCCTAGCTAGACTTGCCACTATATTTGCTCTTGTTTGTTGTATTATATAGATTTTGAAACTGGAATTAACCAAAAATAAAACCGGAGCCGGAACTAAACCGAATTGGAAAATATTTTCTAATCCAAAACCGTACCGGAACCTAAATTTAAAATGTTGCCTTGGAGCGAAGCCGGAACTATGTTGCCTTCGGTACTTACCTTTCCTTTTATTTCCTGCCCTTGTATTCTTCCGTTGACATTCAATTTCATTTTTTCTTTTTCCTCAATATCTACTTTTTGACTTTCAAACTTTTCTACTATTTCATTTCAATCAATTTCGAATTTATTACTATATTTCGATTAGCCCCTTTAGTATCAAAATAAATTTATTCTATTGCGTCTTCAGCATATTTCTATCGATCATATATTTCCACTGCTCCTGCTTTCTGGTGCTCTAGAATTGCTCCACTTTGAACTAGAAATAACGATTTTTGAGGTAAGATGCAGTGCGGGAATCTAGATCTAGTCGCAGATCGGTCGCTGAACATTAAAAATTAATACAGTCTATTCGCTCAATTTGAAAAATTGTCGTTAGGTTGGGTTGAAACACAAGCAGCATATGCATTGAACTTCTGAGTTGTAATTTGGGTAATATGGACAGTGAAACTAATCCTAAATTAAAATAAAAAATATATATTTTGGAGGTGGCGATGGTATATATATGTACATAGTAAATGCATCTAGTAATGCTATATGAACTTGTTTTTAATCTACTACTAAACAATGCATACCTAGATTTATCAGACAACAATTTTCAACCTCTTCAAGAAACTGAAATTTTCAGATAAATTAAAAAATTATAAAATAAAGTCACATGTTTCTATTTTCAGCAACTTAAATTTTGAAGATGGCACAGAAATGTTAAGTCTAAACGCTAGTTATAGTCTATATTAAATGGAACATATAATTTTTCCATCATCTGATGAACGCTTATTACGTTATGTTTAATATGACCATTAGATATTGTACGATAATTATTTTATTCTACCTGTTATCATACCATATACCAAATTACCCTAAAATAAAATAAATATATTTTTAAATAACGATTATCGACCCACAATACCACTATGACTAGAATGGAAAATCAACATCAACTAAAAAATAACTAAAGAAAAATGCATCTGGATCCGAAATATGCATTTGGATTTCTAATGAATTATCTATCTGGCCTTAAAAGCTTTGAGCAGTTTAAAGATACCTAATGCAACTTTTAAATGTTTAAATTGCCTATTCAAAGTTAAAAGTAGTAATTAGCCTATCTAGGTTTGATGCGCCTGGCATAAAATTCAATAAAAATGTAATATTTGAAGTTTTTAAATCTTTCAAGGTAGGAAATTTAAAAATATATCTCACACGCTTAATTATACATATTTATCAATTTTGGCTATTTTTTGGAGATACTGTCGAAGCAGACTCTTTTTTATATGCAGAAAAAAATGTCAGAGCCTTCATTAGTTGATAACTTTTGGATATTGGTATATTAGAGTCATAAAGCTTCTTCGAGTTCTTGCAGTCCACGTAAAACCACCAATTGCACTTAAGAATTGCCTGGTCATACAGTGTTGATTCTGGACACAGAAAGCTCTTCATTATAAGACCATCATCTGTGAGCGCACAAACATGGAAAACCTAAAAGAAAAAATCAGTTCAAAAATACGTTCACTCATTCGTTAACTCTACAACCAATTTGGTTTGTGGTAGGGCGTTTAGAACGACCATGTTTTACGTGGTCCTTTAAAACTAGCTGTTTTTATGACAGTAATTATTTTTTTAGTTATCATCGCAGATATTAAAACCAATTTTTAACACTGCCAGCGAGCGGAATCTATACATTTGTTAGAGTATGAGCTATAGGATCTCCTGATCCAAAAGTAGCTACTAACTGAGAATATACCTAATGAAAAAAATGTTGTGATTAACTTTTACGCAAAGTGTCTTTGGTGCACGAAACTGCTCTCCGAACTTCGTTTCCGATTCATTAGGGAACATCAATCGGGAATGCAAAATAATACATTCGCATACTTTTGCGTCCTTCTTAGAAAATGAAAAAAATTACAACTAACAATACATAAATTCCTCTTGATTTATGCGTAAATGAACAAGTATCATGCGTATAACATAATCACTTGAAGAGTATTCATCAATTGAGTTTCCAAAGCTATAATATGCATACCACCTGTATAATAATGGACGGTAGTCTTATAACAGGAGTTTTGCCACAGCAATGCTCTAATTTGCATCACAATCTCATTTCTCAACATCAGTTTATATTTACTTATTTACAAGAGTATTTGAATCCCGTATTGCAGCTGGAGTCTGAAGGACAGTTTCTCGTGAAAAAAATCATAAAACGCTCAAAAAGTAGCTTTCCTTTAAACTGTTTGATAGGTTGCTTCAAAACTTCGATATCAAAGAAACCATCCAGCAAAACATTTAATAAGTTTCTATGGCAGTTGAGGCGTGTATCGATCAAAATCAAAGCAGTATTAATCGTTGACTCTTCGGCAACTTTCACTTCCCCAAAATAATGAATTCGGTTGTCACAATTTTGAATCACCCTCTATAGTCAATTAAAATTATGATTTCCTCATTATGGGTTTCGGTTTCCAAACCATCATCACATCAAAAGTGTTTGTTTGGTGTCTAAACATCGAAATAATTAGTCAGGAAATAATGTTACATTAAATAAATAAAAAGAAAATAATTTGTATTATCTGATTAATTTAGAGTGAATAAAAAATGTAAACCTTAAATGGATGTTAATTTATTTCACAAGTAAATATAAGCTGAGATGTCAATGGCTTAACATGTTCCAAATAAGAACATCCAAATTCAGTGTTACACCTACTATAGGTGAGTAAGCATTTATTTATTTACTTTTGGCGGTAAAAGTTTAACGGTTCTTTGAACATATGTATTAACATATTTACAAGTAGTACGAAACCTCGAAAATCCTTGAATATTAGAAACCATTTAACAGTTGTGTAAATCCCAAATAGATAATTCATTCAACTTAATATGTTTGCAGTTTTGAAATTAGTATGTAGTAATAATGTACAAATATGTGGCGTCAAGTCACTAAAATAATTTAGCCGCTTATTCAATTTCGTGCGTTAACTTTCCAGTAATTTATTAGTAGGAAATTAAATATTTAGCAGCCTTCTCATATCGCTAGAATTTCATTTTTAATAATGTTTAAAATTCTTTTAGCCGACCTTTTATTTATATATTAGGTTTCACGGTTAATATACTACTATTATAAATTTTCAAATGTAAACTACTACCTTAAAATCTTTTATTCCACTTCAGGGCTAGTGTCAAATTGATAACACCTATGGCATAATTTTAATTAGACTAGAAAAATATTTAAACTTATATAAACTAAAAAATTGCTAAAATTGGCATATGATGGTCACCTAAATACTCAAATTCAAATTATTGTATATTATTAATAGTTTTACGCAGCCTTTTGCGCAGACCAGTGAATGCTGCGCAAATTATTGTACGCTTAAGTTAATAAAAAATATTGAACACATTTAGTTGCGGAAGTAAAGCTTCCAAACAATTTTGAGTATTGTGAAAATTTGCTCATACCAATATTTAGTTTGGTTAAGAAGCAGTTGTTTCTAAATAAAATTTATTTAGTGCAGTGTCTAGCATTATAACTGTTAATATTCTCTTTTTCCAACCTGAAGCTAAGATAGTTCCATCACTATAAAATAATTACCATTAACAATGTTTAAACAGTGTTTCTCATGAAAAACTAGCCAGCAAACCGTTAGAAAATCGCAATCATTATTGAGGTTACCGACTGTTCTATTGTACTCAATAAATTTCAAGGTAGGGAAAACATTATTTCTTTTCAAAAGACTAAAGTCCTTAGAAGGTTTTCCGTTAAAACACTTTCGAGTAAAGTTCGTCTTCGCGTCGCATATGTCTCGATATTGTTTCATCGATAGTTTGGTTTTGCCGAAATAAAATAATTTCTTAAAGAAACGAAATTTTCAAAACAAAGTGTCATCTTTGCGATTACGCATTATTTTAAGGCAGTTCACTTAATTAACGGATTATAAGCAATAAAAAAAATTGCGTAAGAAGTCAATTTTACTGAAGCCTACACATTCGGAAAAAACCCATGCGTTCGCATAAATCTGATGGGAGAAAGCCGATGATGTAAAATTTTATTAATTTGGACTTTCACCACTGTTGAATACATAAAGGACTAAAAACAGAGCTCATAAAAGGACATAATTAATGAGTAGGCAGGCGTCGAGCACAAAGTCATAGGAACCACAATAATAATTAGCTTTAGATCTTTAACTCTCTTTTAAATTAGTTGATACTGGGGTTGTAAAAATATACATTTGGACAAGAAGTCTCGATAGGCGTCCGCAATATTGGCGAAACCATGCAGTGATAGCAAGAATTGATTAGTTTGTATCCGTACTTGAACTTTGTTGAAAATAGTTTGTTGGTTGATTACTCAGCCATAAATGCGTGGTGAAACTACAGGTCAATGGCTGCGTTACTATCAAGCTCTAGTTCCTCTGCGTGGTGTTTATCAATAACCCTTTAAAGAACATACTTTTGGATGTGCCACTTGCAACCTGAGCCCTGCTGATGACTTGCGAGTAGATTTCGAAAAATCTGTACTATTACCACGCAAAGAACATGGTTGTTCTCATAATTACATTAACTAGGCGACTCAAGTAGATCGGAGTAATTGAAAAAAGAATACGTCAATAGTTCCAAATCTGTGGAAATTTTAATTTTCAGTGGACTAAATGGACTAGAAAGGAATCGTCACCTTAGCGAAAGTTATTATTATGATCTGCCGAATTACCGTTAACCAAATTTTGATTATTTCTTCTGGGGTTTTTAATGTCCACTATAGATAACCTGTTGAAAAGGAGATCAGCCAAATGCCATTTTTGTATTTATGGATATGTATTTTACCCGCTGCTGTAATAACAAGCAAGCTAGATATCTAATATCTGTACGATCTATAATTCCTCTACCTTGTGATGCACTCTGTATATAAACTAAATATGTATTAAAATATCATAATAACATGTAATCACCATTACGTTGCAATTAACAATACATTTTATAGGAAATAACAAAACCTATACATAATTACCAACGTAATAATGAACTGAGTAACCTTGATAATGCGAAGAAAACGTGACTCTGGTTAATAATTAATGTTAAAGTCATTCTACTATTCAAATTTATCATGTTGATGTGCATCTAAGCAGAATCATTTATAAATTCTAACTCGCAAGGACTTGCAGATTTTCTATAGCATTTTATTGATATATGACTCGCATTAATTGAACCTCTGGTGATTTTCATTCCGTTTCCTGCATAATTTCAAGTTTCAAGTTCAGTTTTGAATCATATTGACCGGGATAAGTGGAAGGTTAAATCGGTATATTTTCGACATATGTTAATAATGTTCATCAATAAATTACTTGCTTAAGTATATATTCAAATTAACATGGATTGTTACGTGGAGTAAACCTGACTTCTAGTATTTATAGAACATTGCAAAGTAAACACCCGAATTTAAGCAGTGATACAGATGTTATGACCATAAAACAGATGTTTGTGTTCAATAGAAGAAGATTTAGAAATAATTTATTGGCGGCATCGAAAACTGATTTCCAATGTGCCATTCCTGGAACTTCTATAGCTTCTTCAAAATCATCTCTTAACATCCCTTTCAATATTGTTCATTAGGTTCATGAATTAACGTATTTCGGCCGAAACAAAATATTTCCTTAACGATCGGGAACATTAAAAAGGGCCAGTGATGTATAAGTCAACACTGATATTTTGATCAGTCCTGTACAAGTGAATTAAATCCTTTCTCTAACACGAGTTGACTTTATTTTGCCAACTTATCTTATTGTATCTTCATATTTTCTCTTTACAACTTTACTTAAAATACAGTTTATCCACAAAACACCAAACTACAGAAGAAAGACTTCAGGATTCACCTTTGCTGTTCCATTCAGCAGGAATTGCATTCAAAATAAGCACTTATGCATGGAATCAGACAATAATATTGTTTTCAAGATAATTTCTCGAATAACTCTCATTAATTTTTTGGTTGTCTGGTTGACTTTTATACAACATTGTTATTATTATTTTCCTGCCTTTTGGTCTTTTATATTTTGTTAACTAAAGTGGGTCAAGAACCGGGCTGAAAGTGTGCGCTCACCCGCCTTGTTTATTTAAATCTCGTCGATTCAATGAGCGATAATAATACAATGAATAATAATAATAATAATACTAAGTAATTTTGCATAAATTTATAAAGGTGAATAAAGACACTTACCATACATCCCAGATCTTCATCAGCATATAGACCTGGAAAGTGTTTCTGTTGCTCGCAGTAAAATGATGTCTCAGGCAGTTCTACTCGGGCCGCAAAATTATCGTCGAAATTTTTATCGTATCCCACTGGATAATACTCTTTCGGTGCATTCATAACTTTTCCAATGCTACTAGAGTGTTTCAGAGTAACTGGTCTCCTGGTGGAAGTTGCAGATTCGCTCTTCAATTGCTTCCGTTGAAGTAAAGCAAGTTCAAGCGCTTCCTCAGTTAAATTGTTAGCAGGAAGAAGAGCTTGTAGAGAGTTAGAAGAATATTGCGAAACTGGTTTATCTACATCGTTATTATAAGCCACTGATAGTAACCGATCACTAAATCCTTTTGTTATTTTATCACTAGTCGTTTGAGACCCTTTCTTTTTTGGAATAGCTACCACAGCCATAACCTTTGATATTGAAGGATCTACTGGAAACTTGGGTGCACCTGCGGAAAATTGAAAGATAGAGGAAGGCATAGTATTAAAAGCCGGAAAAGCAATACCCATTAAAGCTGGTTGAGGAGCTGACGGTTTAAATATGGCTGGCCGTTCAGCGGCTGGCGGAATTGGTTTAAAAGGAGGTATATTCGTATTAGGCGAAGACTGACTTAGGCGTCGAACTTCCTCTCCAACCGTGGAAACTGCGTGAAGTGATTCTACTGGTGATGAAACTGCCCGACTGGAAACAACCTATAAAATTAATTAACGGTTAACGATTTTCAAATATTTACCTAATAATATATATTAATACTAGCAGACCCGGCAAACGTTGTATTGTCATATAAATTATTCCTAGGGTTTTTTTTTCATCTGGAGTGGGCGGTTTGCCCACTTGAGATTTTTTTTATTTTATTTTAAATTTATTGAATTACTAATATAGCTATTAAAAGATAGGGGTTTATGGCAGCACCCATCACTTAGGGGTATAAAAAATAGATAACAACCTATTCTCAGACCTACTGAATATACATACAAAATTTTATCAAAATTGGTCAAGCCGTTTCGGAGGAGTATGGTAACTAAAACTGTGACACAAGAATTTTATATATATTAATATGAGTTACTGCTAAATGTCCGAGTACAAAATACTACTGTACATCTATTTATTGCAATAGTGTTTTTTAATCATATTTTAGTATGTGTTCTCAAAAGATATATTCGCATTCACAAAGTGCAATAGAATTAAAATTAAACTCATTTTTGGGGAATGTTTTAAGTTAAAAACAAAATTTCTTTAAAAAACTAGAGTTTGCTTCTAAGATGAATGAAGTGAGTTTGCAGATATGAGAATGAATGAAGATTGTAAGTTGAACATTGAATTTGAATAGAATAATTCATGTACAGTTCGATAATATAAGATAACATTTTAAAAGCATCTTTAACATCTGTTGCAATTTTTTAGATGAAAGCAGATTACATCAAATAGGCAATATTAATGAAAAGGTGCTTTAAATAAAATTTAGTCCAATTGTAATAAAGCAAGCTAGTTCATCAGCCAACTCATCAGTTCAACAATCAACATCAAATGTTTCGTTCATCGTCAAGATATTCAGCTTGTGTATCATAATCAGATCGAAAAATGATGAATACGTTACTAAATTCATTAACGAACAATGAATTCTGATGATAAACTTTTGAAATTATTATTGAAAAAAATTTTCGTCGAAATACATGATTAGATGATAAAATCAAGTGCTATTAAAACAGGCATAATGTTTTACGAAAAAAATAATACAATAAATGTAGTCACCAATGGTGCGAATTAATTGTCCCAGATGTTGGCCAATAAAGTAAATATGAATTTGTTAAGTGGAAAATTATATTAATGTTTCCCTTTCAAGTTTGCACCGCTACAATAACCTTGCCTTACGACTCTGAATGTCAAGTTTACATATTTCTAAGAATCGAATGATTCGTTAGATGCACGAAACTCAATAATGAAATAATATGCAGGAAATTGCACCAGACTAGATGAAACGCTTTGTGAAGCTGAGTCTGACATGGAGGAAATACAAAAGCTCAGCCTCCGAAAAGTATCCAGGAAGATCTTCGTAGAAATGAAAACTTAAGAAACATTTCAATTTCAATATAAATATTTCATTAAAATATGGGCCAAATTGACCAGTAAAGGATTACATTATATAAAGAGAATTATGAATGCATTTCCAACAGGCTTGGAACTTCTAAAAAAAGCGAACACAATCCGAAAATATTCCAAAACGAATAGAAAAGTGTGTACACTTTTGGTATACATAAGTATACCAAAATGTCGCTCTACTCCTTTCTATATCCATTAAAATTTATTCAATCCAATTTTCGTTTTATTTTTTACACTTTTTAATTTGCTAAATTTTTTTTAGAAAATAATGAAACTTTATTTCCATTATTATAAGAAAAGATGTGTCTTTTTTTAAATATATAAATTCCTGGTCCATGTAATTAGTATCTAGTTTAACAGTTATACGAACACAAAGAAGTGTTCTATTAACTATTTTGGGCGGTGAATTTCAACTTCAATAGAAAACGTATTTAGTACGATAAAGATCGTTTTGAAAGTTGTAACCTCGTTTAGGATATTACGGGCATTTAAACTGAAGGAAATCACGTTAAGGAATGTTCGGGTTTTCAAAATGATAACATGTTTCCCTAGAAGTGAGTTGTAATTAGTTAATAAATTTTAATTATACTGCACTAGTATAAACAATAAGTAGTTCTATAAACTAACGTCTTCTCAAGTATTGAACAATATCTACTTTCGAGAGTCATCACGTAGAAATTACAAGGGCGCTTGAAAGGCTGCAATAAAGTTAAACATAGATATAGGAAACCGTATGATGAAGAAGAGAGAAAGCTTTAGAGGAATAACTTTTATAATATTATGGACAAACTGGATAAAATATGAGCAAATGCTTTTCGAAAAGGAGCTACAGGTATAATCATTGTTTTCATGAAAGGTTTCTATATGCTCGTGTCTGAATAGCAAAACGAATTTTTCGCTCTATATAAAAAATTCAGTAATTATTATTCGAAAATGATGTGGCAACAAATCGATAACGGCAGTTTCAAAACTTGTCAATTGTGTTGATGAAAAACAATTAGTGCTAATTGAATAATTATAACTAGATAAAATTGAGTTTAAATGTTTTGACACTGTACGAATTTTGTCAAATGTGCCAATAGATAATTACAGTTGCGAATAGCACAGTTTTTTAAATTTTCAAGAATTTACACACATATTCATTTGCATATTTAAGTACCAGTAAGGTACACTTTTGACACATATAGACGTAACTCTTTGCGGATTAAAATAACCTTGGAGTGTGCAATTCACAACGGAGATATAAATAAAAATTATCGTTAGAGTGAAAGGTGAAACACCCACTAATGATGTTAATATGTTTTGTACTATTTCGCTAAGACACTTCCAGATGTCACATCAAAATTAATTAATGCATCAAAGATGAGATGTAGAATGTCGGCATTTAATTTTAAAAAATCAACGAACTACAAGTGAGAAGAAACAACAAAGAAATCATTAGAGAACGGAATTGCATTAAGGTATTCATAATTTTTTTTACATACTGTTCTAGAAACTGACCTAGGTTTTTATGTCAAATTTTCATAGTGAATAGCAACAGAATTTTAACTCAAAACTTTGTTTTCGAGTAAAAGTGTTTTTCCAAGTTGCAATTTTCTTACACTTTTCGAGATCATCTATTTTTGTCACGCTTAGTAGTATCAAAGTGCTGTCTATATTTTCACATCACGAAATAACGAATATCCGGTCTATGCCTGCAGTTGCTATTGTAATCTTAACAAAAAATAAGAATTTTACAACGAATATTAAATGATTGTGGCACCCCATCATACTTCCTACTCAGCCGTCCTTCTAAAATCCTCTCCAAACTTACATCCAGAAAATGAAGACATAATAATAAGCTTTGAGTCTTTCACTCAGCTAAAGAAATTAAGAATTCTGCGATCAACTTGCAATGGACATTTTTTGGATAAGGTGTTCTGACAGATAATTTTTAGGAGATTCCTGTTAGCAGACAAGGTGAAGTTAATTTCAGTCGGTTTATTGTACGTTTATGCTAGTTGTGTATTCAAAAAATTGGTAAAAAACAATTTTTAGTAATTAACTGTTTTTTTTTGTAGTTATTAATTTTAAAAATAACTATTTCGAATACACGGATTCGCAGTTTGGCAAGAGAGTCAAGATTTAAACAAGAAAAAAATTAATTGTCTAATAAAAGGTAAGGGGAGTCATATTCTGAGAAAAAGCGGAGACCTCGTGATGACGATATAGTCGAAAGAAAGGGAAGTGGAAGTGGTAGATAAGAACGAGCAATGTGGAAGCGACGAATCCTCTGACAAAGACGAAAAAATCAAAAACACCATAATTCCAAGTGAATTCGGATCAAATGAGCAAAATAATTTTCGAATAGTATACATGAAAGTAAACAGCGTTCAGACTCATAAGCTGCTCATGTCAATGATTAAACGAAGAGGAGCAACAGAATGTAGTAATAATTAAATAAAACGAAAGAAGAGCTAATGCACACTGAAGTGGTCACATTATTGGCGCAACTCAGGGCTGAATTAAGTTATTAAAAATTGAAGTTTTCAATAAAAGTGAATGAAACATACCTCCTTTCGATCGCAATAAATCTAAACCACACATAAAATTAAGCCTTGCTGACATGCCCAATATAAAAAAATTGACAGGAAAAAAATATAAACTTGAAAATAAATCTTGATTTTGTTGATCCAATTTTTTTTCCCGAATGAGAATTGATTTGATGGTTTTTTCTTCCGATATGGTGGTCAAAAAGTATAAGCAACTTTTAATAGCTTTAATAGAGGAATTTCACAAAACCACATTAAATTGGGTTTGAAAGAAGGTTGCAGAAAGTTGGGGTTAGAAATAATTAGCCATTCTTTGAAATACGTTCAAGGTTACACCTACTTTTGCTCCGTTTATTAAGTTTTAATCCTATTATTTGAAATATCAGATGCAGCATGTTTCCTGTTAGAAATAAACCTATGCTAACTCATAGGCGGGCACTGGCTAGAGGTAAATGTATCAGTAACCTCCTAAGTGAGAAGTTCATACCAAATATCGAGGCAATTTATGTGTGTCAAATGTACCTGCTTGCTGTTGTAAGCTAGTGATTCAGCCGACTAGTTAATTGAAAATTGATTTTAAGGTTTGTGGTTTAGCTGTGCTAAGCCAAAATTATACTTAAATTAATTATACAACTACCTTTTCTTCGCCTCCAACCTTGGTTTTTTCGTCTTCCGGTTGTTTCTGCGTGGCCTGAATCAACTGGGCCTGCATTTTTGAAACTTGTGCAGACCTCCTTCTATTTATTTCCGTATTTGATATAGATTCTTTAAATCCCAGTTCATCGCCGACACTAAAACCTGAAATTTGCAATTTTAATTTGAGCTATGGGATCAGTGTTAATATGAAATGTACGTTCGTGAGGAGTAGAAAATATTGATGTATGGAAACTGTGATAACATGAACGTGAGCCATAATGTTAATTTAAAGTCCAATAGATAGGCAGACGCGCATATTAAAAAAATGGTGGAATGAATGACATAAAGGTATAAAAAATATGATGTATAGAGCGTTAGTGAGGCTTACTTGGAGAAGATAAAGGAGATAATTTCGAGTGTATTTCTCCAAGATATTAGTTCTTGAAGATACACTTTTAACTTGAATTCAGCTGTAATTAGTTACCTGTGGTTGTGGCAAAATGTTGAGAAATTTAACAGAAAGTAAGCGGAAAACAATATAAAAAACGAAAATACCCTCTCTACACCATGTAAAATACCCGCCTTCAATATATAAAAAAAAATGAATAACTTATTTCCGTTCTTGGGGAATGTTGCAGCGAAAAATGCAGAAAGTTTCTGTATCTCAGAAAAGCAGAACGTTATTTTAAATAATAAAAAACGTTTTAATTGATCTTATTTATTATTTAAAAAAATCATTTTAGCGACGCATTCCAATGGATCCCAGTGAATTGCTCAAACATTATATTTATTCTTTAGTATAGTATAGTCCTATTAGACTTTCGTAATACGTACTTGGTATAGTGAAAACATTATTTTTACTTACTGACAATTTTAAGTTATTCCCAAATAGCGTAAAAGCTATTAGTCTCTGGTACTTTCAAATCAAAGACTAATCAGGAAAATTTTAACAGAAAAATTTTAACAGAAAAATTTTAACAGAAAAGACAAGTATTAATAAATAGCAACTGATTCAATTTGAGAGTGTACATACATTATATACTCTTTCACATACATTACAGAGGTGCTAAAAATTAAAAGAGTAATTATTAGAAAACATAATTTTAAACTATTGGAAAATGACATCAACATATTATATATATAGCGAATATCATAAAATACCTAAATAAACGATTAGTGAAATACTTTTAATAAGGAACAGTTATAATGAAGCGTAGATGGTGAAAGATGTCTTGAATTGATTAGGTATGCTATTAACGATCTCTCCAATGATTTTGGCGGAATTAATTTCAACGGGATTGATTTAAGTAGGTTGAGGAACCTCTGCTGATACAGCCGTAATTATTAACCGTATAAATTATTTGTGTTTTATATGAATTGGAAAATCTCATATAGTGAAAAGATTTGCCAACAGTCTGCTATTGACATTTTCATTTCAAGTATATAACTTAAGACCTGGTGACGCAAAATGATTCTGATGAAATTGGTCAGAGCTATAGCGGAAGAGATTGCAGACAACCACAAATAAGTTAAAAATTCTACGTCATGCTGATCATTTTATTCAAATAATTTATTAAAATTTTCCTGTCAAGGTGAAAGTGTGTTATTCCTAGTATTTCCGATACTTCCCTCAAATGTGAAATATGGTATTGAATAAATGCCCAATGTGAAACTTAAAAAGTAAAAAAACAGAAACTTCTGACTGCAAAATATTTAACAGCTTTCGCGATAAACATTTCTGTCCAAAGAAGTGAAAATGTATTGACCTGCATGCACGTCAGCTATTTCATAATTCGTTTAAAAATGTGGCTTCTGTTATTCTTTACAAATATTCTAACACAAGCACTTTATCCATTTGTATCTTCGAAATAAATGAAAATATATTCGAAAGAAATTCGGAGAAAGCAAGACAGTTAATCGAAGAATACAAAAAATTGTGATTAAATTTGAACAATTCTTAAACAGAATATGTATACATTGAATTTGATTAGCAAGCCTTGGAAACACTAGCAAATAATAAAATAATTAAAACTGCAAGGCATACAAGTAAAGTGACCGCAACTATATCACAAAATGGGTCATTGGGCGATGTGAAGGAAGGAACAGTCTTCAAAGAAGGAGAGAAGCAGAGTATTTGGTCTATTAAATAATGTGCTATTGAACAAAAAAATATATATACATATATTAACACAAGAGTATATGTATGACACACTGATCAAAAGTAGCACACTGATAAAAAAATAGTGACTCAAAGCTCATAGATGTCAATTTGAAAGAGTGCATGCTATTCTTTAAAAGCACCAAAAATTAGCTTTTAAAAAGGACCCGCGGGAGCAAAATCATGCACGTAGAATGAAAGATAGTGGACCATACCAAGCATCGATAAAAAAGCGATATTTATAGGATTTTTTCACATTAGTTGAGGAGCACCCTGTATACAAACCAGCAAGAGAACTAATTGTGAGCGAGTGCCAAACAAAATCCAGTTAAGTTTTCCGTCGCTTTAATGTGGCGAGTCAACGAAATCATTTACAAATCAGCATACGGCTTGAATCTGGATTTGCCATTTCAAAGAACCATAATGAACATATCCAGGATTTAAAGATCCTGGATATAGATAAAGAGAAGTCATGTATTCCGTCCCTCTTGATGAAGCCACCAAAGACGCCTTGATAAATAATTCTTTTATTTCTATTTTTCTTTCCCTTTCTCAAAATTTGATGAGAGAAACATTCCCAACTTATGACCTGAATCGAATGATAATCTGCCATTAAGGCATTGTTTTAAATATATGTCAAGCTGTAAAAGTCCAAAGTTTTATGAAAATCCAGCGAAAGACTCAGGGGTGAGCACGTGACTAAATCAAGTTAGATATTCCGTAGCTCACAATGATGCGAGCAAAGAAGTATTGATAAATTGAATGTGAGTCTGTCATTTAGCCTTTACACAGGATATCAGGCCCAAATTGCTCAAAATTCCATAAAAATTAAATAAAATATGCAGCGCGATAGCTAGCATTTAATTTAGAATAAAAAAGTCTAATGCGCCGGATTTGTTTATGTTTAACTGGGAAACCGGGTTTTTACGGCTATCATGGACCTGAAACTTGTCTTTGTGAATATTGTCCTGTGCAAAGGCATTTTTTACAAAATAGTACACAATGAAACCGAACTGCGTAGTAAACGAATTACTCATCAAAAGGGCGATCGAGCCTATTATTATACCATCATGTTGGTTCTGGAGTTCGGTTCCTACGGACTGCGGTAAAATGTCGAAAACGCATGAGTTTTTTTGGAAAAAGTGTCTGATTATTCAGTTGATTACAGGCAATGGACGAGATCGTCCTTTATCCTGTGAATCGAGTTCCTAAGTGACCCTTAAGGAAAGTTTATAATTCGAAATGCATTTTCATTGTGTGGTCAAGTGTAGTGTGTGTTTTCTGGGAATTAATGGATAGAAAATGGAGGATTGAGGCGCCAGCTTGCAGAAAGCTGGTAAGAATGATTTCTAATCTATCAATCCTGTAGTTTGAACTGAGTTTAGTTTTTCGAAACGCAACTGACGCTTTATGGGTTCTTTACATTTCTCATGTGTTGTTTTCCCGATTTTCAATAACATGGCTTTGGATAGATTTTCTCCTCTACTAACCACATTTTCTTTTTTTCTTTCCAGGTGGACGATGCAGCTTTCGGTAAGTTTGGCATTACTTTGCCCCTGGTTGCCATATAGTTGTAGAACTTTTAGTCCCATATTATTGACTTGTATTTTATTATATTGTTGCACTTCATATTTCTTTGCCAAGGAACGACGAGGGAGCTTCTGGATTCTGAATTGGGTTTTTGAAATTTTTTATTTTGTTTTTATAAAACTTCTTTAAAGTCCGATTTAGAACATTAACTCACAGTTTTCTATGGGAGACTGTTTTTATAGTAGGTAGTTTTACAGTTTAAATGCAAAATAACTGTCGTTCTTCTGTGAACTACAAATTTATTGTGCAAGATTTTGTTATCAATTATTGGTATTTCTCTGTTATCAATTACATTCGAAACTAAAGGGTTCTTGTATTCTTTATGGAGATTGCTCAGATTTACAAAATTTAACTTTTTTGCTCCGTACGATTTAGAGACTCAGGTTTATGTGACGTAAAATAGGAATATTCTGCCGCGAATACTACTTTAATTATTTATTTTATTAATGTTTTTCTATTGTAAATTTCAATATTTGCTGTTTTTAAAGTTAGTAATTCTCCAGAATACATAACGCTCGACTTTATAATTTTTCACTTTTTTCTTCAGTTCTTCACCTTTAAAAGTTTTCCACAATAGACTGCTTTCATGTGTAAAATAAGCGTGTCCTGCTGCGAAAACATCTTTAATTTTCTTCGGAGCAGAAATATCAATTATTAGTGTCTTTTTGCTTGCGGTAAATTTCATATTGTCTGTTTCGAAATTTACTCATACCCCAGAATCCAGACTGAAGTGCTTAAAGGTAGGTGAATTTTATTTATTAGTTTGTGATGGTCTAGCGGATAGCGCCTTAAGAGGCTGCAAATGGCCCTGTTGGCGCTGTTTTTTTAAATTTGACACTTTAAACAAATTGTTTTTGCATACGATTCATGCTAGCGATTTTAACGGCCAGGATCTGCTCGACTATTCCATTTTTTTTTGCTGTCCAGTGCCCTTCAGGCTGTATGTGGTCCAGACTTCCGGCTCCAGACTAAATTACATTTAGTTTTTCGAGGGAAAATCGGATTTAAGGGAGTTTCAGCGGTCTGGATCGATTTTATGGACGGCATTTTATTTTGTAAAAGTAGATGGCAACCAGGGTTGTAGCTTTTCTTTGATAGCATTTATGCTGCTCGCATATGCAAATTTGAGAATTTTATGGAGTGGCTTTCCATTTCGCTATTGGCCGATTTTATATAGCAGGTTTTCGAAAATCGTAGCGCCCTTGATTTCGGATTCCAGGTGAATTGTTGATCTATTTTAGTACGTATAAGTAGAAACAGGAAGTTTGCAAAGCGCTCTATCGAATAGGTTTTACTGAAGGTGCATATATGTTTAATGGTTTTTTAGATAAGTGTTAAACGTGAAGAGCACTTAAAAATCTGATGTAATTTTGATTAACTTTTTGAATGTGAGATTTTCCATATGAAAATAAATATGGAGAGACAGTTTCCAAAGTGTGCCATCGAAAACGTTCGAATGATCACTTCAATATTTTTACCGTTTTCCCGATACAAGTTCTGAAACTTTGAGACGTCGCTATCGTTTGAATCTTTCTCATCTAGGCTTTTTTAATGTAAGTAATTTTATGAAAATTCCTAGCAGATAAAGGCAGTGCCTAAATGTCCCATGGAAATATTCCGGACGATTAATCAGAGATTTTTAGCCAGTTTCATGATATTTTTTAAAACCGAGATATCCACAAAATTTTACATCTTCTCCGCTCGCTCTTAAATTTGGGATTAATCTGAATTAAGAAAAAGCAGTTGAGGAATCCTTTCGTACAGAATGTACAGAATGTGAATAAGCTTTTAAACGTTCGGCGGTTATATTGGAAATTCACACTGTTTTGCCCATAAGGTTAGAAATGTCTGATCGAACTATGGAGAAACAGTTCCGAAAACGATCTATTGAAATGGCTTTAATCGTCATTTACATGTGTTTATCGGTTTCTGATATAGAAGCTTTTAAATGTTGAGAATCCGTCGTTTTAGAAGTTAAAAACATTGGAAAATGCCTGTTTCGTGAAAGATGATCTGCGAGGAGCTTGATAGAAAAAGTTCTAATAAACGCGTTATCTCGCCCTGTGTTCAAGAAATGTGAAACTTTCAATGTTATGACTGTTGGTGTCAGAAAACACGTAATATTAAGACAGTTACTTAGCAAGAAAATATGGGCATATTTTTAAAAACACTGAAAAATGGATTATTGTTTAGGGAAGCGATCAAAAATATCAAATCAAAATGTTGGCTGTCTAAATAAAAAAAAAAGTTTTTGAATTAAAACCACTTATATAAATTTTAGTTAAATAATTCAGTTCCCAAACACGAACTTAACAACCAATATTTAATTTAAACCTTGATACCCTGTATATCGCACACGATAGACCGAAATAGAAAACTGATATTGTGAAACTCGTATTTATTTTTGCACAAGAAATCTGCAGCTAATGGATTGGCCCAATTTTTGCAATTCCCTGTATATGATAAATGGTTCAAGTCTGAACTATTATTAACTTTCGTCTTTGAAGCACCTCGTCTCGCGTATTGCCAACAGTATATCGTAATCAATTGATTTAACCGGCAAGTTTCTTTTATATAATTCAAGGAACATCGTATATCTTAGGCCGTCAGCCGGGAACAATGAAATTATTCACTTTATTACTGCGTTATTAGTTACACTACACAGGCGGTTTGTTACTTGAGAAAAATCTAATATGTATATCGATAATATAGGAACTTAAAACATCTGAATTGTAAAAGATGCAATTGAAACAATCAAACACCTTGACTCGCTAATTTGCCATGAAAAACGCAAATAAACGGTAAGTAAATCGGAAAAAGTCCTTACTTCTCTATTTTGCTTCTGTATACGGTTTTCAAGAAAATTGGTATCAAAATACGAACAAATTTATTGCTTCTTGCAATTCTGGGTAAAGTTGGGAAAGCAGGAGTCGTACTGTTCTCCTTCATTTCTTTGCCTTGTGCAAAGCTCCCAGTTTAAGTTTTAATGTTTAAACTTTTTAAAACAGAAAATTTTTATGTATTTTACTTTTATCAATTTCGAAGTTCTTAATAGTAGCCTCATAGTTATTTTAAAACATTTTATTCTCGAACTGTAGAAAATGTATAGAGACTGACCTCTTAAATATTAAGTCTTAAATATTTTAAATCAGCAAATGTTTTTTTCTCTTTTGAGTTTGAAAATTATATTTTTTTCAGGGCAAGTTTAAGAGTGGCAATAAATCAAATGTAGTCTCATTTTGGGAAGTAAATAGGGTCTAGTCAATCTAGATTACAACATTAAATCATAACCTACATTACTACAATACTTACAAATCACCTACAAAATAAGTATAGAAAATACAGTTAATATTAAGTACATTTTTACAATATTGGTTAATCATGAGTGTTAAATAAATGAAAATATTAATAAAAGAAGAAAGATTTACCGAGCCCAATGCTTGCCTTCACACCACCTAGATTTCTAACTCGAAAAAGTCCACTTTTCTTAAAAGCACAGTTCAGTATGATGCCAAAATCTGATTCCAAAACACAGGTCGAACGGCCATGCCGGAATATGCCGCCTGAAATTAAATGTTATTATTTTTACTACATTATACATCTATACAATTATATTATATATGTTTATATGTGTAAACGACAGAAATATTACTGGTAGCTGTAGAAATAAAATATAAATCACTTTTTATTCGCATCGAACAAAAATTTTACTTTGGAAGTTTGTTTTAATTATTTATTTGTTAATTTGAAATAGGCAAGTACAGATTTCGAAATGCACCAACTTCAGGCACCCTTAGGACCGGTTTCGAGCCATTAACTCTCATCAGCTGGGCAACAGTTTCCACGCCGATATGAATTCATTGGCATTATAAAGTGCAGGTTTCGAAAAGGCTAATTTCAGGCTGAACCCGGCTGATGAGAGATAATAGGCTCGAAATCAGTCCTGGGGGTGCCTGAGGTTGGCGCATTTCGAAATCTGCACTTGCCTGTTTCAAAAGCTTATGACGACTCTGCTGATGCCGAAAGCCTGTCATTGTTCAATTTGTTAATTTGTACAAACTTTGTTAATACCGGTATAAACTCATCAAAATACTACAAAATATTTGATCATGGTTAAAACAATTGTCATGCATACAAGTAGTTATATTTGATCGACCAGACTGGTAACTCATAGCTATATAAACAAAATGTTTTTAAGACAATCGGTATAAGAGAGCAAAGGCAATGTGCTCGTAATACATACCCACTAACCCACTTTAAGCATTAATGATATGTATAGTTTACTAGTGCCGCAGCTAATATGAGAAACTTCCTTTAAATATATATACATATTCAATTGGCATAAATGCTGATGCCTATTCACATAAACACGATAGATTTATGTCAACTATGTGCAGTTTTCAGGAGTTTTGGATTAGGATTGAAACAACGTATTATACGCATAAAATATAGTACTAGTTCTATAGTGTTGATGTTTTATATTACTGTCATTTCACCGTTTGCAGCTCTCAAAAGTATTTCGCATTTTGTATCTACAGATGTAGATAATTATGTCTCTAGATTTATTAATTACCATTGTTACTTTTTTTTATTGCTGCTTTCTTCATCATATAGTGTTGTTTTTCCAATTCATATATAGTATCTTCTTATGGAATCTTTATATAGTATCGTGTAATCGTGCTAGAGTAAATTTATATAGATACATTGGAGAAATGCTCCAATTTTATCAGCAAATAAGGTCTTAGTACCCTTGAGATGAACAAAATTAACAAACAAAATCCATGCTTGAGCACCCTATGTTTCCCTTAAAATAATCGAATGTAGTTATATTAACTAATTGATATTCCCTTAACAGTAGAATACGTGGTTATAATGCTAACCAATCTAGTAATATGATACAGAAGTTGGCATGCTTAGGTCTTAAGCGGTTGCAGAAAGAATACGATGCCCAAATTAAAATTGTACTCTCAACATCGCTACTTGTCTAATAGCTTATTGATTTTTTCCTGCTTTTCACAATTCGGATTTTCTGCACATTCACACAACTTTCATAACACTGAATTATCAAGAATTATTTTTCGAATAGCCTTCCTGTATCTGAAGCAGCACGCAATATTAGCCCGTATATTAAAGTCTTGCGACGAAGGGAAATGTTTAAAGAAAATCATCAACTACAATAATGAGTTTCAGCTCCGATTCAGTTGATGAGAACTGACCGCGATATCGTGATCCAACCAAAAATGTGTTTGGCCAAGTCTTTAGGTCAAAATTAGTTTTCTCTAAATTATCCGGTTTCAGTGTAAGAAAGAGAAGTTTACTTTCTTACTACAATGTTCCCGCTGTTTAAAACAGGTTTCTGTTGACTACCGTACAATAAGGAAAGATATTGGCAGTTTCGTGTTAGAATCGGTCATTCATGAATTCTGAAAAGTGAATTTTATAGGCTCTTGCCCTAACTATTCAAATTTTTGTTGAAAAAAAGTTTGAATCGTTGGGATAAAAATAGAGATTTTTAAAAATACTGAAATCTTACTTTTAGCTGTAGTATTATTATACGACAGTTGACTGAGTATTTTGATATTAGTCAAAACAAAAATAATGCCGATAAACTTGAACAGTAACTGTAGACTATTGAATGACTGCAGTAACTACAGGAGCTAATTCACAGAACTGTTTTGAAGTGCTAATATGATAAAAGGTAATCGTTACCAGTGTCCGCAAGTCATCATTGTAGATTGCAGTTAGCTTTTATTTTTATGCTTGCGGTGCACATAACGGTCACACGGTCACCTAACAGAGAATTATTTTGTTATATGCAAGGTTTTTAAAAGAAAATCGCACTCTCCAGTATATGTTGCTAGATATGTTTTCACCACCAATGTTGGGAATATCAGGAAACTCAACTTCAATTAAACGTCTTTCAAACCTCAAAACTTTCAGTCGAAATTTTTGGTTTGCTTATCGACGATATAAGGAAAATCCTTTTCTAAAATAATCCACAACCATAAAGTGACAACTACGAGTATATTGCTCCACAAGAAGAGCGACGTCTTATAACGTGAGCCTGTTAGCGTTAATCAGGTAGATCGGCCTGAAAATAACACGCCCAAAACTCATACTGTATTCGCAGTAACTGCTTTATTAAATGCATGGGAGAAATAGTTTTGGGAGTGTTATTTTCAGGCTAAACTCAACTGATAAGAGCTAGCAAGATCGAAACAAGTCCTTGATGATGTACCTATCTACTTACATCAGAAACCTTTCTTGGCTCTTTTGATACCAAAGAAAGCATTGTGCTTCAACTTTCCCATTTACTGCGGTTATGACTACCTGATCCTTAATGAATTACTTCATCACTTTTAAAACTGCTCTTTTAAAGGATCAGAAAATGTGCAAGTCGTGTGTTTAGTCAGGAATGCGATATCGTTATTCCATCCAGTAGAGCAAGGGCTAATTTTGACTTTCAAGGCACCCAACATCAAACGAATCTTCAAGGATATTTGTGAACAGCTTGAAATCGACAAATCTCACCCAAATACGAATGCTTCAAACAGATGTTAGATGTACAATATTAGATTCTGGTTACGGTAAAGGTTGGCTTTTCATGTACTGAGATTAAACTATTAGCGGTCACTGCCAGTAGAACAAATATACCTAGATGTAGGAAAAACGTCAATTTTAGATTACCATTGAAGCATAAAGATTGCCAGAAAAGAAAATTACACAAACAATTAAAGGCGAATATCTCGAGGATTTTATTGAGGCAGATATTGAGCAGCTAATGGTGGATAAAGAAGCAAATGAGGATTTCGTTGTCATGGTCAAAGAAAACAAGGTTCGTGAATGCTGAACGAGCGCTACTTTTTTGTGCGAGGTATTAATAAACTATTAACTCAATATGACGAGGTCTATAGAAATTTCATCAAACTGCAAACTCAATTGTTAAATCAATATTCAATGCCAAGGTTCGCCGACCTGAAAATATATCTAACTAATTAATCTAAATTGAACTTGAACCCTATCAAGTAATTGCATATCTTGATATTTTTATTATTTTAATAATCGTTTTATTTATATACCGGGTGTCAATTTGAAAACTTCCCACCCTTAATATCTTTCTTGCAGTTAAAAATTGGAAAAATCGGAGAAGGAAAAAATGACCCGTCAATTTTATTTGTAAGGGGGACACTTTAAATTAATGTTTTAGCCTCTTTGTTTGAACCCCTTAGGAGGGGTAAACGTCACCCTGAAAATCTTAAATAGGAATGGGGATCAAGTGGTACATCGTTTTAAAGGGAGTTCAAGTTCTCTTTACATTACAGTTCTCTTTTTGTCCAGAGGTTTTAGAATAATCTCAGGGTGATATCTACCTCTCCTAAGGAGTTGAAACAAGGAGGTTAAAAATATTAAATTAAAGTGTCCCCCTTCTTACAAATAAAATAAACGGGTCTTTCCGATTTTTCATATTTTTAACTGCAAGAAAGATATTAAGGGTAGAAAGTTTTCAAATTGACACTCGGTATATAGATTTTACATATGAAAATCTACATTTTCGATCCCTACGGTTTGCGAAAAAAATGTTCTTTTTGGACATGGGCAAGAACAAGTAATAACACAAAGTACGATTAGCGTACATGAATCACATTATGAATGATACAGCAATTAAATGGATGACTAAATCTAGATCAAGAGATGCTTACCACGATTAAAAAAGCAAAAGTTAAGATACGATACAAAATAGCCACGCTTTATAGCTAGAGAACTTAACATAGTGGGCAGGTCTTACTTCGACTGAATTGTTCCAGTCAGTAGTTAAACAATGGTGATTTTTGTCTTAAGTAGTTAAGTAAAGGTTATACAATAGATTCTTATGAACCAAATCAATATGAAATATACGCATTGAAAAATGTAGGAATTTTTAAACCCAGGCAAATAGCAAATTGAGAAGGTTCAAGTGGCAGACGCTTTTGAGAATCAAGCAGAGGTACAAAACAGTTCATTGTCTTTCTAAGCAATTCAGACACAATTATTTAAAATTTTCTACAACACTAAAAAACCTTCCCAGAACTAAATTAACAGTAGACAAGACATTCCATTTAAATTTGTTAATTAGAAACATTTACGGAAGTGGTTGAACAATATAAATAGAGCTAGGCTTTCGAAGCCATTGATCCAAAAAACTTATCACAAAAGTTGCACAATTAAAGAAAAAGCTAATGTACGAATAGCAGACGGTACGCTAAAATATGGCTCTATGGAAAAATGCAATCGAACCTGTCAATGCTTGAATATTGGTAAACACTAAGTGCCTCCAAATCAAATAATGTAATGATAGAAAACGCCGCTCCTTCGCATTAAGCACAAAATGTGCTGGTTGTGGTGGATTAGTAGACGCAGTACCATTGAATAACCAGCAAAATCTCCAGATTTGTTTTTATTACGTTTCTTTTTGTGACTATTCTCGGCAAATATATCACCTGTCGTCTTGCTGTGCTACTCAACCAATTTATCTACGCGATTATCAAGATGTAATATACGTAAAGGTACATATGATGTATGCGAGATAAGCTTGCTTGGTTGCTGCTAGACATTCGATTTTATTCCACCAATCATTCACCATTCATTTACCGCATTCATTCCTTACAAATTCTTTAATGAGCTGGGCTGGAGATCGAACTACAGACAGACACAGGTTTAGTGTTTTTGTGTCAAGTTTATTCGCAAGACGACATTTGAGATACGGTTTCTTCCTCAACAAATAGATTAAGGGTTTCAAACAATTTTTTATGAGAATAGGAACTCTAAACTTCAACTGTTTCCTGTGCCCACAATATATTCAGAAGCGAACTGTTGACAAAGCCGTATTCTGTTCATATTGGAATAAAACGCTTGAGGCCAGTCATGTGCTTCATTTGTGTTAGTTTAAATTGAATGTTCAGCAGCGACAAGTACGTCTTAAAGTACCTTTCCAATGTAGCAGTTCATATTTACAAAATGTACAGTCTTGGAAATACGTTTTAGAAAAGCGCCAATGTTAACAAATAATCGATTTAAAAGGTCTTTTTTAGAGGTATAGAACTTTAAACTGAAATAAACTTCATAAAAATTATGTTAAGGTGATGGTACTGCCTTTATTGAAAAGGCAAATGTATGCCATTATAGCTTAAATATGACTTGAATGAAGACCAATCCACGGAGGAAACCTAATTGTCGAGCAATTTGACTCCACCAGGTCATAAAAAAGCACATCAAACCGTGAGTTTTTTTTATATAACGGCGTCTCAATAATGGCTTTCGTAATTCGACAATTTATTTCGAAAATCGCTGTTCAGCTTGCCAAAATTACCATACGCTATATTCGTTCATATTAAGGGCGACCTAATCGTTTTTGGCTCATTGGATGCGTAAATAACCAAAACTGCCGAGTTTGGAACGACAAAAATCCAGACGCCATTATTGAAACGCCGGTAGATCTAGAAAAAACTCAAAGTTTGGTGTGCTTTATGTTCTGGTGGAATTTTGGAAGTGGTCGAAAATTGGACTTTCAGATTGCGCTTCATTTGAGCCAGCCCAAATACATACACCCATGGCTCTAATGGCATACAATTGCCTTTTCAATAAAGCCACTACCATGACCTCAGCATGATTTTTACGAGTTGGAAATTCATGGAGAAAAACTCAAACATCAGGTTTAACATAAATATTTCTACATCCTGCAATTACTTAAAACACATATGATCAAAGTGCTCTTAATATTAACTATATAGCATGCAGTTTTTACATATTGCTACTAAAAACGCCACCGTGACCTGACGTCGACGTAACCATAATAAAAGTTACATTTTTGTGATTCATAAATATCTCCAATCCAAATTAATTTGTTTTCTAATATGCTATACATAAATATGATGGGAACGAGCGTCAGAAGCCAGTCAGAACAATCACGAAAACAAAGTTATTTTATTTTAAAAGGAATAACCCCTTAATCATTATTTTCTGGTTGCGTTTACTTTCCGCTCTAAAAACCATGGTATTTTGTGTAAAAAGGTTTTGGAAACTAAATTTAAAGCGAACGTTGCTTGGTACTCGTAACAGGACTTTATAGGTGCCATGATGATTTAAACATGTTGTGTTTCTGCAAATAACAGCCGTATTCAGGGACTGTAAAAACAATAATATAAATATTAATGCGTGCTCTAAGCTGAGATCAAAAATCCTTAATGATGTAGCCAAATACTATTTGCTGGAATACTTCATCCGCAGAACAAGAATGTTTCCATTAGTTTAATAAGTGCATGTATAAAGTTCTCATAGTAAAAATGCTGAACTTTTCTCTCATTATGGTTTTGATTTAATGTTCTGAATTTTTCAATTTGGAAAAATTGAGTTTCTATAACTTTTTTATGTAAAAGCACAGCGACAGCCATGCAACTAGCCAAATATTTCTAAACAAACATTACAACCACTTTAAATTTGTAATTAGTTTTTAACTAGGGCTCTTCAAAATGAAAATCGATTTCTGTTGGAAAGTTAAAGTTGCTACAAGTGAACTAATGCTATCATATCGCAGTATTCATGAACAACGATTTAAACAATTGAGACCCATGCGGACCCGTGCAACATTTAAAAGTTTTATGGAGATGTTTCTCACTCACGAAGGAAGACAGGGCGCCATACAATCGTATTACTTTTACCTTAATATTTGAACATTTTTGCACAAAAATTCCACTTAAACAATAGCTGTCGCACAAAAACATCAATTCCTGCAGGCAAGGAAACCAGAGGCTATGGAGTTACTGAGACGAAGTTATAGATCAGCGTGAGTAAAACCATGATAATTCTAAACACTGAAGCGCAAGTGTTTATATCATTTATTTGGGACGAAAAAACGAAAATGAGAGTGGCCAACTTTATTAGTTCTCTCAGTGAAAAAGAGTCTTTCAACTTTGCTTATATCTACGTAATGTTAATTACAAATGTGTTGTTTGCTAAGGCGAGTTAAAACAGTGTCGCATAATTCATTATTTATTTCCATACAAATATCTCCATTTGCGGTGAATATTTTTATTTTATTTGTATACTCCCTAAATACCTCCAGACAATACATCAAGAGGAAGGACGCAAATTTTCAGGCATCTTGTATGTACAAGCTGTACAATGTACATGCTGTACATAATGTACATGCTGTACCATTGGAAAATTTGCAGTTGGATTTTACTAAATGGTTCACCCATGTTCTAAAATACTATACAAGCCGTAATTTGTCGATTTATTTTTTGATACTAAATATTTTAGCCTTAAATGCAGCGTCAGCGGAAAACACCCTTCGGAGCGATGGATTGAACTTTACAGTTTTAAGAGGAACTATAGGTCGATCAACAACTCATTTAGAGGGGTATTTAATGCTGGTTGTCGGCAGCTCTTTTTTTTTAGTTTGTCTTGGAATTTTTGCTGAAAAACAACTTTCGTTCAGATAACAAATGTACAAACAATTTATTATTCAATTGTTTAGGAAATATCAATTTTACAAATTACTTTGAAAATAATGATGGTGCACGAATGGTTGCAAGCATATTTTATCAACAATAAGCAAATAAATACACCCCCAATTTTGACGTAGCCATTTATATATCCAGATTATTCTCCAGGTCAACTATATATGATACATGAGTGTTTTGCTCACTTTAACTCCTTATTAGTTAGCAACGAAAACTTATTTGTTAAAGTCTCAATAAAATTCTGTATATTAACTTCTACAATGACTTTAAGAAAACAGTTGGAACAAACTGGAATGGAACAAACAACAGCAGCTTACCATTAAAGCATTGAGCACATGCATTTTATTTTGGAGGAATAATAAAGATCGTGGATACTACTAGAGGTACTGCTGTAGAAGATTTTCATACAGAAAGTGGCTGATATAATTAACCTACAGCCTGGATTACGCCGGCCATGCGGGTACTCATAGAATCGGCGACTTCAAGTGTGCCAGAAAAAGTTCTAACAGATTTTTTAGAATTATAGCGTTCATTAAAAGAACGCATCTTTGTTCATTCCTCTAGACATAACCGTTCATTTTTCTAATTTTACCTCAATATTTTTATAAGTTAAGGCTATCAATGGCACCGCCTGTATATATCTAGATCACTCCTTCAACCCGCATTGATACCACATTTACCTTACTTATAAAAACCATTACTAGTAAAAACCTTAAAAAATTATTAACATTGGATCACTATAATTATAAATTGATAAACAAGTAATTAAAAATTAGTCAATGGGCGGCGAAAGCATCAAAGTGGTTATTATGTAATTTGACTTAAGTACATGATAATTTCAACATTTTTTTCGATAATTCTTTGACGAAATTCATCCTGAAATTGCTCAGTTAAAATTGTAATTTGAATGATATTCGTAATAGATTATGAAACTTTCACTACCTATGCCGAATAACTAATAGATTGCTACTTAGGATAATTAATATATCAATGTTTTTATTTTGCTTAAGGCATGGGACATTTATGAGTTGGATTTCACTTAACGTGAAATAAACTCCTAACTAACCGCCTATCGGAAATTAAAAAAAATAGTACTCTGCATATTTTTTGCTTTCTATACAACTCATTGAGTCTTATTTTGAGTTTCCAACCAGAGCTTTAACATTACATATTGTCAATTATTTCTTAGCATGAGGTCATCAAATAATGGCACCTATAATCCTGTTTTAAATTTCTAAGCAACATTTCTAGATAACAACTTGCTTTAGTGGAATAAATTTGGAAGGTGTTCTTCTCGACCAAAAATGACGTGTTTACGCGAACTTGTAAAACTTGAACAGTTTGGTTTTCATTGGCACCCCCGACATGTACGCATATATGTAGGTAACATAATAATACGAAAATAAAATTGTTTGCATAGACGTTTTGCATCGCACATTTTCCATTATAGGAAGCTACACACATACTTAAATCTAACTATTGCCTACGAGCACTTCCTATTTAATTTGTCATATTTATTGATACGTGTTGTGCCTTATGCGTAATAAGGAATTCAAAATTAAGGTTAGTACACATTATTATGCGCTTTTAAATTTGACAAAATACTTATAATTATCAGAATAGCCACAAACAAATATTATTTTTGGTCTAAAATGCATGTGTAGTTACTTCTTCAGAATGTTAATATGTAAATGCCGCATTCCGTTCTGCTACACGCATTGAAATAAAAAGAAAGTATATTGGTGAAATGAGTAGGCATTTCAAATAATTGCGGATAACACTTATTTCATAAAGCTTCCGATGTTGAGTATATTTTAAATTAGGCAATGTTTTTTATATGCTTAATATTTAATTAAATGAATATTTTATCCATTCCAACATTATAAATCCAGAATATGATCAAGTCAGAATGAATAATTGCTATCAGGTCAATATTGATTCCAATGTAAACACACATAAGCGTTAGATAACTTGTAATGTTTCGTATTTCTCGTTTAATAGTTTTCTTTATAAATCACAAAGTCGCATATGCTTACCGAAAATAGTAACGAACAAAACCAGCTTAACACACTTCATATTTTTCACGTAAAACTGTAAAAACCCAGTCAAAAAGTATCACTTTTAACCAATTTCCAAAGCGAAAATTGATCGCAGCGCGCAACTTACGCTAATCGGTTTGATGTTAACCACCGGTTGCAACTGCAAAGACTAAGGAAAGAAGAAAGGTGACCTAGTACCAAGTCCTTCTTGACTTTGCGCGTAACGGTATCAATGATAAGTTGAAGTACTCGGCATTGTGAATGGAAGAGACGCAAGTTGCCCCAATTCTCTTAATGTATTCTGCATAATAACCGTCACATTTTTCAAATAAAATCGGCGTTCTGTTTAACAGTGATATTATGCTTATGACAATAACTCCACCGTAGGTCAACTTAACAAACCCAAGATTGTATTATAACGAAATAGACCGAGCTGTTCCCAATAATTGCATCGTTGGGTTATAAGAAGTTTATAAAGGAACTAGATGCAGATTGCTTAATCTACCCTACGGTAACGGAAACCGCATATGGAAAGCACATGTAGTATCGCATCTTGTTGTAGCCACATTGGGCGACAAATAGTTAAAATCAATTTACCCAGCAGTGCGGAAAATATTCCTCCAGGTTCAAGTAAAGGAGGAGTGAGGTTTGGGAAATGCTCTTTTATGCACTCCCAGAGCTGGTGGTCTGTCACTCGGGGTTGTGTGGGACTCCAGCTGAGCTGCTTACCCACTAAAATCCTTTCCTCACCGCCGAGGTAGTGTTTGGCCTTGCACGGCGGTGATTTCTGCCCTATTGTGCCCTCGTATTTTACTCCTTCATTATCCCTGTGTATTCAATGAATTCCAGAAGAATCTTGGGGGAGGTACGACACATAACCTGGTCTGGTAGTCATCCCTGGCTGCAGCTCGTCGATTTTCCCAAGCAGGTGCCTCTTTATGAGTTCTCCCTGCTGAGGAGAAAAGTTCTTCTCGGGATATCCGACCGCCGCTATGGCCATTTTAATCCCGGAAACCGCAACCTTGCACAACTTGTGTGTGGTTCCTTCCTGTACGGAAGTTTTCACACACAGGCGCCCAGGTGCTGGCTTGTTGGGTGTGCTGCCATCCGACCGGTGTCGCTTTTGCGTCCCGATCATGGCCCCCTGAGGGTCTACCTAGCACACAGTTCTTCTGAGGAAGTCCCGCCGTTATTTTGTGGTGGTATGATGGTGGTGAAGAGTATTCCTGCTTTATTACAAGATAATAATTAAGCTTTCGGGTTCATTGCTTGAAACTTCTTCCTTTTATTTTGAACCTCTCTTCTTTCCATAGCTACATCTTGCTGAACTCTTATTGTGCCGAAGTTCTTATTGTGCCTACAGATTTCAATGGCTTCTCTTATTAATCGATAGCCTGTTGTTGTCTTGGGAGATTGGGCGTTTGGTACTTTATCTTCTGTGTTCCTTGCTTGGTTTCTCAGTCCTGGTTTTAACTAATCTGTTTGCGGATCCAACGTAGACGCTTCCACTGGACCATTGCCTTTGGTTCATCTCTGCAATTTACAGTAAAGGCAGACGAAAAGTTTCCCTAGGTATTTTATTTCGGTTTTCCGATCTTGTGGATCACATATCTAGGTATCTAACTTTGTCCGTGAGGGTATTCATGATTATTTCCTTTTAACTTGGGTGGTGATTGGAAAATGGTTGGAGGCATCCTTATATACCTTACGTAGCTATAAACGATCGCTACTGGTGGGTACTAAAACATCCAAGAAGACGAATTTATCGGTTCCAGCTAACACTAGGTTTTTTCACACGCTCCAACACATAGCAAGTTGTCTCTTACACCAAACGCTGTATATTGACTGTTCCTGCCCTGTTTTGGAATATTTATGAAATGGCTAATGACTGTATTCTCACTTGCATGAACATGATTATGTTTAATGCAGTTGTGAAGAATAGATGTAGTCAGATCTAACAAACGTTCTCGAAACTGCTCTCCCATCTTCACAGTAGAAAAAGTCCGAAGTCTACATTTCAGGATGCGTCCAGCATCGTTGGTCAAATTCATTATAGATAATAAAGCAAAGGCTAATGAAATTATCTCCTCAATATAGAGCCATAGTAACAGCTAAGGTGTTTTCAGTCTTCTCTCAAATGGAGCTCGAAATTCTGGGCAGAGACTCGAATACGAAGGGTATTCCATGAGCTAGCTCACCTGAACCACGTAATATCTATCGCACATTTGCTCTACATTCGACATCGCCCGAAAATCTACTGCGTCGCAAAGTTCAGGAGACATTCAGACTATTGTTCCCATATTCGACAAGAAAGGTGACAAGGTGGCACATTGAACATCTATATGCATATACAGGGTCCAAATTCTCGAAAGCGGGGAACGGCGTTCTCATGTGAGAAGTGAGGGGGATTTTCTTGCCTAGCGAATAAGTGTATTCTAGAAGCAATCCAGTTCCCCATCAAGTGATCCCATCCCCTATAGGCCAGCTATCACATCCCTGATGTGATCGCTCCCGTCCTGAGCCGTGCCTTAAATTCGAGAACTGGGACCCAGACGTCGGTATGTTGATGTCTGATAAGCAAGCAGACACATACCTACACAACCCTAAATAAAAAAGCTACAACTTGACATTGAGACACACAGACGGAAAAAACAACCCCAGAGATATGGAAACATACTGAATCGGCAGAGCTCGCACTTAAACCGAACAAATAACAAATAAGTAGTAGTTGGTTAGGCGTAGGATCTTCTTTTCTCCCTGTTTGGAGGAAGGAAGCAAAGGAGAAGTCCTTCGTCTAGTGGCGGCTTAGCACATAGAACGTGAGCGGAAGCGCAACGCGACTAGTAGATAGCGTGATCAAGGATGTCATTTACGTCCGTTATCAGAAGCTTTACGAAGCTTTAAGAAATTTTACCGAACACCCAAAGTTTTGGTCTTGGCCTGTCACGAATTTCCTTATACAATGAACGGCAAAATTACTACATATCAAGATTTAAAAATCAGGTGAATTTTTTAATTGCTCATTTTTAACCCAAAAAAAGTCATGATATCAAGACCAACACTAATTTATCGCTTCTTCTTCAATTTTGTGAAACCATTTTACCATTATGCTGCCGGCATCCACGCTTTCCTCGGTAAATCCTTTTCTTAGACGAGAAAACATTCCGTTTAAATGCCACTGTAGACCGCCAAAACTGCAGATACTAAAGTCAAAACAATTCCTATTGGATGACGAGATTTCCTATTAGATGATTGTTATCCTGGACGTTGGATTGGAAGACGCGGACCCATAGAGTGGCCTCCGAGCTCACCAGATCTCACACCCTTGGATTACTTTTTATGAGGTTATTTAAAGTACAGGAATTATGTAAATCGGCCGGAAAACATCGAAGACTTGAAAGCCAACATTAAGCAAGGTATGAAGAATATTGACAGAAACGGTCTCAATAATGTTTGCAATTGTGGCAATTTTGCTAACGACGTTCAGACGCCAATTTCCCGACAACCGTAAGATTAGTATTGCGACATAAAAAATGTTCAGAATATTGTAGAAAACTGAATAAAATTGCAAAAACTATTTTCTATTTAAAAAAAGTTGGCTTTGATATCATAACTTACGTTCGTAAAATTGGTTCAGCAAATTGGCAATCAAAAACAAAAATGGACGCGTCTGAGCAATTTTTAGCAAAATAAAAACCTGATTTTCAGATAATTTAATTCAATAGAATTGCTGCTCACTGTATAATTATAGCAAGATCGAGATAAATCCAGGATTATGTTGCCTGCTCCAAAATTGTTAGATCATTTTCCTCAAAACGGCGCCATCTCTAAAGAAGTAGAAGTATTTGTATATAAATAACAACACAAAGTTTTGAAAATAATTTTATATTTTTTTAATAAATGGTAGCAAACACAAAATATAACTGTTGCCTTAACATATGCCGCGTTGTTTATAACGTTTGATACACGTACCTGCTATGCGGTACACAACATCGACGCATATGAATTAAAAGTCCTTTATATATAAACTTAAATGGTACAAATTCTATAGACAAATATATTATTTTAAACTGAAACTATTCGCATAACATATATTTCCTACCGCTATTATTTGATTTGACTTTCTAAATTAGAAAAATTACTTATTGTACTGCCATAAAGTGGTTAAACTAATAATACCGTGAAAATGTATGCTAAAACACATGATCTGTTACTTGGATTGGATTAGTCTTCCAACGGATTCTCATTCATAGCATGTGTAAAATTTACTAGTCATATCACACAAAATGCCTTGGCAGCTATAGCGCTGATACGCCACTGTTTTTAACCAAATAATGGATATAAACAAAATTTATTTAGTATAAATTTTCACTTAGTCAAATGTATCTGAATGTTGAAATTAAGATGAGATGCACAATAATGAATCGATTTTGCTACTTGCAGAAAAATTTAGAAATTCTACACACACTGTGAGATTAGAGAATAAGTGCATCAAAAACTTTTTTTATAAACCTGCAACAGAAATATCTAACAATTGAATGATAGAAATGAGTGTAAATAATGATAATGTGTAACAAAATACGAAGAATTTCCCGCAATTAAACTGCCTTGATTTGTAACGAAATACACTTTTGCTGGATTTACTTAAATATAAAAAACGACGACTAACAAGGGCTTGGGTAACTCCGGCTTCGTAAAAAAGCATTTTTTACACGTACAATATGCACAGCTCACAGATTTTGTAAATTTGATGCATACGAGACGTATGATTATTCAAGCAAATTTGCGTCTAATTTTGGGAGATCCTATGTATCATTAACAAAATGTATAACTAGAATATAATAAATTACATAATACAAACAGGTACTTAATAATTCTTAAACAAGCAATCAATAAGCTGCAATAATAGTAAAAGCCTTTGCATGTTTAAACCTGATTATTTCTTTGTAATTGTTCTTATAATAATACAACGTAAGCGATACTTTGGTAAGAGTAACGATACAGGGTGATCCACTTGGTACATTTAGCACTCTAGTGAGTTGATCTTGATGACATTTTCTGTAGTATAGTGGATTTGACGCGAAACTTTGCTTTTGGGATACAAGTACATTATCAATTTAGCATTCTCTCTCGCAATCAAGAAAACTTCAAAAAAAACTCGCAAGTTAAAATTTAGAATGTCATCCGTAGATTCACGTGTGACCATAGTCACTATATAGAATGATAAACACCTTCCCATTTGGTTAATGTGCCAGCGTGAGGTAGAAAGATGTTCTTCAATATTCGTGTAGAAAAATATGTGTTCAATGTTAGCGTTACGTAAACTTGATTTCTCCATTGCGCTTCAATAACAAAAGAATAAACGTACGTGCACTCATAGTAATAATGATAAATTCAAAATTTTGTTAACTGTAACTATAGATAGTTTTTCAAAGATGAAATTCTATTTTTATTTTTTTTCTTAACTAAACATGCTTCAGTTTTAATTAAATACATATTCACAGACTATTGAATTTCCAAACTATATAAACTAATAGGTATATGTACGTGCACTCGTTCTACGACGTGTAAAGGAATTCAAGAGCTAAATTTGAAGGGAGATTTCTATCATCGAATTAAATAGTATGTAAAAACTATTTGAATTCTTGAATACCGAGAGTGGAAGCAATTTGGTTACTTGGATTCTGCAACGCCTTGTGCACATTCTTGTAGCATGGAGCTATGTAAATAGGCAAACGTTTTATTCATTAAACGATCTATCAAATTTAGTATCAGTTATTATTATTTGGTTCAGATACAATGTTTAAGCACATCTGAGCAAAGACCGAATAAATAAATGAAATGAAAATTATAATAATTAAAGAGTTCAGTAATTTAATCTACGATAATTAGCAAGCACCAAAAATTACCGAAAATGTTTTTCAGTTCGCAGATATCAGATGAATAATAAATATTTCTGGTTATCGCATGATTTATTAAATATAAAAACGATCGTCACCGTATGTCTTATAGATCGTAAAAATGAATATCTACTATTTTTAGTGAAGCCTGAAGCCTATCACTTAAAACAAGTTCAGTCCTTTTTCTTGCTGCTTCTAACGTAGACTACTCTACCGCTCTAGTTACTAGACGTTTCCTCCTCAAAACCTCCTTTAAAGTTGCGGGCCCGTATTAACAGCATTGATAATTAAGAAGAATGGTTAAATTTAGATTTGGATTTTTCAATTTCAACAATTATATTTTTTGTGTGACTAAACTGACAAATTAAATATGTATTAATACTCACAAAAAACAATATAATTAATAGCTCTCATATAAAGTTGAAGTAACTGAACACGCTCTGTACATATGTAAAACCATTAATAATAGTCACATTTAAATTCATTGTGCTTCCATTTAACAATGCGTATGCTTATTGTGATTTATTGTATTAGTGTATTAGCGTCTGTATCAGTACGATATTTCTTTCTCCAGCGGAGTATCTTTTATTTCGAACATATCATCCCAAAAATCTGCCAATAGTAGTCAACAGACTAACCAGAAAAAAAAAATATAAAATATAGTCCAAGTGTTGAACTTCAAGACTTGAACTTTACGACCATTTTTTTTTATAAGAACGCCATATCCTTTAATGGGTCAAGTTTAGAAACAGGGCAAAATATCTCGAAAAAATTATTGTTTACACGAAAGTTTGTTCCCATTTTCACCTTCATTCCAGTTGCAATTCAGAATCGTTCCATATATGCAATACGTAATTTTTAACCATTAGACTTGAATCATAGTTTAACAAATCACATAGTTACTGACCACGCTACCACTGTTCCTATTTTATATATAGCGTATAGATATATATTATCCATTATCCATATTATATTCCATTACTATCAAATTTACCAAGCTTACACCAAAACACGAAATATGAAATTCTACAATTTCAACGTCTTTATGTGAGTAAGCTTATTTGTGTGTATTTTTCTATGGATTTTAATTTTCCAGATGTTGCTCAGAAGGTTGTCAAATGTTCTCTTGCGTGAAAATCGAATTCACATTACTTACATTTTATAGGACCATGAATTTCTATGGAGTCAGGTATTGGTGCAAGTATCATCAGTGGGAGTTTGACTGCTTAATAATATGACTAAAAGTAAACAGACGTAGCTGGTACTATAAATAAATTTTGTTAAAACATTAAATAAAAATTCATTATAGTTAGAGGGGTGAACTTTGGGAAATGTTTTTATTTAATTTACTAAATATATACTAGCTAATATTATAATAGGTTTTTGGCCATGTCCTTTGGAAGTTGAACTATTAGTTGGAAATGCTGCAAACCGGGTTTGAAAGTACTTGAGAACAAAACAACCCAAAAGCCTGTACTTTTACAAAACATTTGTGACGCGGAATCACAATACACTTTCACCATCAGAAATTATAGTTATAAGGCGTAAATTTATTTTTAGCATCATCTACTACATAAAACTTTGCTGGCCCAAGATCAATGCTGCTATCCGCTTAATAGATGTGGCCGTCAATGTTATCCTCATTAAATACATTTTATGATTTAAGGCTACATATTTATAATGGGATTAAATATTATAGCTCGTTTTTTGGCAGTGTTTGCATAAAAATGACAATGCACAACTTCAGAACTCAATATTGACACGCACTTAAAGATGTATAATGAAGACGATGGGTCTGTTTGAGATTACAAGGCTTCGGATAGAAACGCTAGCAACTTCATTGGAAAATATTTTCAGTTTACCAGAATCCAGACGATTTTCCACCCGGTGGATTTCTGACTCTAATGCAGGACTTATGTTCAGTGTCAAGATCTTCTGCAAATATAAGCAGAAAAAATTAGTAATTAATCCACTTATCATGGCAAACGATAAACTTACCACTAATGGAGAAAGTGGAATCTTGTATATTCCTCTGCCCCTCAGGTCTAGGAGCTTTACACGTAGGTGTACCAATATTAGATTCAGGTAACGTAGGCGTCAAGCATATCTTGTCTTCCGAAATAATCTGCAAAAACTCAACGGTCAATTACGATTTTAAATTTGATAACAACCTGCCAACAACCTTTTCTATTTCTCGGATATCTTGAATCTCATCTACATTTCCATTTCTTTGCGGTTTTAGATCTTCTACTTTAGCAGGATCATAAACAAATGGTGGGAAGACGGCCGTTTCGATAAATCGTCCAAATCCTTGAACTGCTTTCAACTGACCTTCATCAACAACTACTCTTCCATTTACTATCACGTATTCTGGAACGCCATGACATTCCAAACCCTAAAGTAAAAGCATGCCCTCAGTATCCACCATGGTTTAACAAATTGCTTGAATATATTTTGGTCAAAGTACAATATGTTCTTGGTGATGGCGGTCCGGACCTAAACTTGGTTTCAAGGTATCAGCATGTAATTAATGCTCGAATTATATCCTAATTTCTGAACAATTGTGTGAACAAAGAGAGCATTTCCGAATCATCATCGACATCAAAAAAAAGTTTGACTCCCTGAATCAGCTGCTCAGTTATGGGCACTTTCACTTTCTTCGGCAAGCTTAACTTGCCTTGGAATCTATTAAAACTAATTCAGGATTTATTTGCTCGTAATTTTCCGTGTGCCCATTTAGTAGATTTAAACAATTTAGTGTTTCCCCAAGGAAGAAGTTTAATATATTCGACATTGTAATAGTTCAAGCAGTGCAAGATGTTCAATTTAAAAAATTTTTATATCCTGGAAGTGACAGCTTTTGTGACCCAGATTCTTATCAACTTTTTCGCGTTTTTGTATGATATCTCGTAGGCTTTGTATTATATACATATATCTCTCACACTTTTTTGAGCGATATTTTATTTGTGTTATGAGACATATATGTTGGGACTTAAATTTATAGTTGCCTAGACTTGAGTTTAAAAGTTTATGGTGGAATTCCAGAAACGTTTGGAATATGTCGTCGTGTATCGTTAAGGAGGTGGTCCCACAGAACCACCGGTGACATCAATCATATTTCCAATATATGAAGGGTACAGGCTCAGAAGGGGGAACGTCCATTTTCTTCATTTTGAGCCGTTCAGTCCGTTCGATTTTAAACACATAGAACTATCATCAAGTAACATCATACGTAACATCACACAGGCGAAAAAAAACAACCAGATATCGAGAATTTTAATTATGCTTGACTGGCTAAAAAGGAGGATAGTCCGCGCGCCACATGCTAAGAAGGGGGAACGTCATAAAAGCGCGTTATTCTTGCTGCTTGTGGCTCTTGATTTTTTTTAAATGCTGGACTACGCATTTTTCTACACTTCTTTAGAAACATAATTCCAATGAAAGTACAGCCCATACGTGAACTAAAAGTCGTCAAAGAACATTCACCATTGCTCAACTTGGTATCGCATTTGGAAAACTGCTGTTTTGATTGAACCGAAGCCAAAAAGGGGTACTTATCAATATAAATCTATGACATTCCCCCTTCTTGTTCGTTACGATCCGCACTTTTGCCTTCACTTTTTTCCCTTTAAAAAAATTGTAACTGAAATGTCATTAAGAATTTCTGCAGTCTAATCCCAAACATCAAAAACAAATTAAATCCATTAAGAGATTCAGTGCTAATTAATAAATTAATATGTTACACGGTTTTAAAATAAAAAATCGATTTCCTGAAAATTAGTGATTTTTGACTTTCCCCCTTTTTAGCCTGGACCCTTCCATATATGCAATTGCCATTGAATGTCATCCACTGCTAACCATCAATTCGAAATTTCTAACGCGTTCTAAATTTGGTGGTTTGGTGGAAGGCGGAAAACGCGCGCATGCGAATTAGAAATTACATCGGCTTGGTTTACGCCCTTTCATATATAGTACATTAAAAGTGTGGTTAGAAACTTGTGAACAGGTGAAGCCGGTGGATGATTGTTGTGAGACGGCTCATTGCAGACGACTACGTGATTTTAGTCAGTGGTAGTGATGATAGTTGATTGGTGGTAGTGGATGATACTTGATTGGGGTGGTCGCTGTGGTACCGCTGCCTAATAACCAATTAGCAAATGTATCTACTAACCTCAAAAATATTGAAATCCACGGCCTGGTGGTGTGTTTTTGCAGAAATGATTCTTGTTGCGGTAGGATTCCAAATGACAATATCCGCATCCGAACCTATTCCTATATACCCTTTTCTGGGGTACAAGTTGAATATCTTTGCTGCGTTGGTACTTGTTATCGCCACAAACCGTGTAGGGTCAATAACTCCTGCATGTACTCCCTTCTCCCAAACGACGGACATCCTGTCTTCGACTCCGTTTACACCGTTTGGAATTTTGCTAAAGTTATCTTTTCCCAGCTCTTTTTGCTTTGAATTGAAAGTGCAGTTGTCACTACCAACTACTTGAAGCACATCCCTACATAGATAGATACAATCATTAGTAAATTGTCCATCCACTAAAGCATATTATGGAACACATGCCCATAAGTAGGACCCGGAAGCAAACCCTGAATGATAGGCAGGAATACATGAGATGAGATACAGTCTTCAAGCGTATAGGACTCGATTTTTTAATAAAGTAAAAATGTTCCGAGTAACGAAGAACTATACAATAGATATTAGTCATATAGAACTACACAGGGTGTATAAAGATGATGTTCAATTAACCAGGGGCGGATTAAAGCTTAACGAGGACCGGGACTAACATGAATATGGGGCCCACACGTAAGAGCAGGAAAATGTGATACATTTTTTAAATATATGTATTTTGAATCTAGCAAATATTTTTAGTTCGGTACTTACAATATTAAAAACCACAAATTATTATACAATTAAAATTATTTCAAATCATCAAAATCATTCTATCACAGCAAATCACCTTCAAGGTTTAACTCGTCAATGCAGACAACCTTTCATCTAACATGTTGATCTATACAAATTTTTTATGTATTGATCCTCCTTAATACCGAGCATCATCTTTTAGATTCGCAGTTTGCTATTGGAATCGTAAACAAAATCCTGTAAGGAATTCAATTTTGATTCATGCATCATGCATATGCAAAATTAAATTATTGCGCACATACGCAGTAATATATTTTTTATTCGAGTTCGCGGGGCCCTTTCAACTTTGGAGCATCTGCTTGTATCTCCGTTAATCCGCCCCGGCAATTAACGATATATAAAGAACTAATCGTAGTTTGAGTCAGAAAATTTCGCTTTTAAATAAGGTTTATTCATAAAATGTCAACTGCGGCCAATTGTGCTGGTAGGTATCATTCAACTTTCTTATTTTAAATACGAGACCAATTTTTTAACTATGCCTGAAAGCTTCAGCGAACTGGTTTCTCAATTGCTGCTGCTGCTGTATTTATAATATATTGTACCTGAGGAACGGAGTGGGGGGAGAGTGGGGTACCAGAAAAGTGCGCTGGGTTTAGGCGCCACAGATGCGGAGCGCAATGCCCCGCTAGCTTAAGGTCCTCTCTTTACTAGCTTGTTGCATTCTGTTGAGGTTATCTATTTGTGTAAAAATATCAATTTCCTATCACGTGACGCCTTAGTAGCCTTTTATAAATGCGTGATTTCTCACAACACAATTTTTTATCTTTCCCAGTGTACATTTGCATCCTTACCTTCCCCTCCTCTTGTGCGTTTAATTGTATCAATATAGACTGAATCCCACAAGCACAGGATAAAATAAATACAGCAGCAGCCCCAATCAACAGATAGAAACACGAAAGAAGTCAAGAAATAAATTCACTGGTCTACAGCCAATGAGCCCGAAAAACTTTTCAAACCAAAACAAGAAAACGTTCAAAACAGAAACATTTTAATAACAATTGAGTTACTGTATCAACAGCTAAAGCAAATCCTCCAGATACACAACTCTCCCTGCTAAGTGTGATATTTTCTCCTTGCGGGGTATTACTCTTCCATACCGTTAATGAGATGATTATTTGAATCTTATTATAAATTAACTGCGGCGACTGTAACTGTATAATTAATAGACTGTTTGAAGTATTCATCCCAAGATGCTCAGATAAACCAAACTTTACTAACTTCTTTAAAATATATACGTGATTTTTGCGGCAATTATCATGAACTATGTTAGTGTCGTTAAATCTAAATCAACATTTTTAGTAGAAATCAGAGCATTGGTTACTATTGTAATTTTAACAATACAATTAATATAAAAATTGAGATAAATTGGCAAGAATAAATAATTGGCGAAATGACCGCTATAAAAGCTAAGAAAAACAGTGCCAATAAACGGACGGATATCAATTTAAATATTTTGGAAAATATAAAATATTCAAAATGGAAAAATATTCAAATATGTCGAAAAACCAAACATCTTTGCGTCTCCAAGTAACAAGTCCTAATTATCGTTTTTCTGTTTTAACCGTTTGATGTTTTAGTGCTGTCCCCATTTTAAACTGTAGGGTTGTGAGGAAGCTTAGGTAAATAGCTGAAACGTTGTCAATTGTAGATAATGACTATTTAATTAATAATTCCAATTTCAGTAACTATACCGAACTAATGTATCGGGTTCAAAATGAAAAACTTAAAGTAAATAAAAACAAAACTAGGCATCGGCATTTATAATAAGATAAAAAGCACACTTCCGGCAAATCCGGAAGTAACCGGCTACACTTATTATTTTATGTAAATAGGTCAAATCGAAACCCCCATCACATATTTTGAAAACTCAAATCACAAGTACTTCTCTGTATATTGCTAATGGTACACAGCAGTAACACTTACTGTATAGAATATTCTATCATATTTAACGCCTAAACATGTACTTAGTGAGAACATAGAGTAAAAGGTTAGTAAGTCACTTACGAAGACAACAACTGCAAAAGCTGACCGCATGTATTGGGATTAGATCTTATGGGAGGTGATGTAACCAAATTAAAATCATGGGGATTTCCCACAACAGCAAGTGAGGAAGCTTCAACCTCGCCAAATAATGTTTGACCCATTGATCGCCTTTCAGCAATCGCATTGGCAGCCGATTCGGATGATACTCGAACCACATAGATTGGTACATTTACCTGCATAGCCAAATGTTGACTGTTTCACAATGTTCACGTACAAAATGAGAAATTTGTCTTCAACATTTTTATTCAAAACATGTAACGTAACACCGAAAAACTTGATTAGCTTGTGATAGTTTGGACGTTTTGTACTATTCATTAATTGTTATTTTGCATCGTCAATAGCAATGTCATTAGCTCATACTTTAATTGTACCTACATTAAACGTCTTGATTCTAAAAATGGTATTTTCGAAAAATTCATTATTGCAACGAGATAAAGCCTTAAGTCCTGTATTAACAAAGAACAGCCACACGACGGATAATTAAGGTATTGTTTGAAACGGAATTTTGATGGAACATAGAATACATATTTTGCAAAATGTATTACAAACGAAGCAACATAGAATATCGCCAAACGCGTTCACGAAAAGACCAGAATGGCTCTATTCTACAGCAGCACCGAGAAAGTAGTATAGACAAGCAATAAAGATTATATGAAAAATAAATAAAACCGATTTTGCCAATAAGAAAAATTATATTTATCATGAACGATGAGGTGAAAATTTCCAATTATTACTGATATTCCTGATATAATTAAAATTGCGTTGTTTTTGCAATAAATCGTTAATAACCAATCATCATCTGCTCATTATCTTTTATATCATCGCACAATTGGTTTGCTAATAGTCTTTGTCTCAAGCAAAAATGCCATACAGCTTGGCCTATTTGCAGTGCGTACGTATCCCATCTCGTGCCCAAGCAAACCGAATATGGATTTGGTACGAAACGATGTTGCGTTATGAGGTTCGATTACACGTCTGGACGCGCCTTAAGGAGTTATAACTATGGAAGAGCTTTCAGTAAAGGTGTTTCCGCAAAAACAGAGTGCGTTTTTTAAGCTAAGCTTTCGGTTATACATATTTCAGACATATGCAGTGGGTCAGAAGGGAACCGTCTGCTTTCTGACTTTAAGATGTTACAACCGGATTAAATAGTAATTAAAAAAACGCAATAAAATGATAACGACAAAACAAACACCTCAATCAGATAATACTAAAAATGCGATTTTGTGGTTGTCGTTTACGTTTTTCTTTGAATTTATATATTGTAACGCAATTTTTAAGCCCAGCCGGCGGCTTACCTAAGCTCCTTAGACAAGTTTCCAATCTTATGAAGTAATATTGATCAAAACATCTTCGATACATCTCAGTCAAACGATGTTAATGACAAAATACGAAATTACAGAATACAGAATAATTGATAAAGTTATCTCATTTAATAGTATCAAATATCACTCCACAATAGAATACGATACGGTAAAATGAATTTTATAATCATTGTAATTGTTAAATCATTTGATAAGGCGTTTGTTAATGAATGTGATATTGCTTAATAGGATCGTTTTAAACAGATTGAAACTTTGATGAGTGAAAGATAAATTATTAGAGGTTGTTAGTTTATGCAATTTAAAAATTTTACTTCACCTACATCTTCAACATTATAAAAATTGCATTGTTACATTTTTTAGTTTTTAAATAATTAATTCTAAAATGAAGATGAAATTTTAAAATCTAGCAGAACTCTAAACGTTAACTGTTCAAAACGGAATCAATACAGTAGAAGAGGCTCAGGAAATATGCATTTAAAATGATATGAACCGTGTTAAAACAACGGCACATTATCGTGTGTATGTGGGTAGACTAACAATTATCAACGTTATCTTTGTTCTAGTTATACTGTAAAAACCTAATATTCAGTTACAGTGAACTTTCATATTAATTATAAAATTACTTTTATTGGTTTCATTTAAGTCATAATGTTAACTTCAGCTCAAGAATGCGGATAATTCGCTAATCTAGCGGCTCATCAAATATATCAGTCCAGTTTTGCTGCATCAAAAAATGTTGAAGACAAATGTTCTAATGATCAATGTACACTTGCGACTTAACCAACGTACATCACTAAACCAGAAAGTGATAAGAATAAAAACATGCATGGCTAAATTCAATCCTTTATATTTCCAGTCTGTGAAATTGAATTAAATTAAAACTAAACTAACGAGACAAGATGGATGATTAATGAATTATTACATTAATATTAATGTGATAATTCATGATCACTGCGATTTATTAATGATTAGTGCGTTAATGTTTATTTTCGTAATAAGAAATAATTGACTGTGCGATTAGATAAACATTTTTTAAATGTAACTCACACGTAATTGCAAGCCTTGTCCAACGCAGGGTAAGTGATATTAAGTAAATATATGAACCAAGCATATATCAATGTGAGAACAGAGTCATTCATTCATAAATAGGAAAATTGTTTTTTTGCGAATCTCTTAATGAGATTCGTCTTGCATAAACCACAGAATTGCCGTAAATTAAGTAGGTAAAAGGGTTTAATTTGGGTAATGGTGCTTCTCTTTAATTTTATTGCCTTCCTGTTCTTATTTTACAGTGTTATATCGGGGCAGTTTTTTTCGCCATTTTCCTGTTATGAAACCGGTTCATTGTTCGATCGTCGGAAAACTTCATTCGAGTAGCATCGGTATTTTTTGTGAGTCTTTAAAATTTTAGTTTAGGGATACCGATCCCATCCAGAACGCGATGGTTAGCACAAAATTCCCAAAGAGACCCCTGCTGAAATGTTAAATACATTACATAAACATAATGTCTAGGGTATTTAAATAGTGCATGTTTTCTTGGTCAAGAAATATTTCTGCGGGCAATATTGGCTAGCTCTGACAGAAAAAAGTTTATCGAGTTACATCCTCAGAAAATGCTTGACTTAGAATAAAATTACATTCGCACAGAAAGTGCTTGAATTGTAAAACAAGCGCATTTCATTCGTTCCCACCTGAGGACGCATTTTTTAAATAATAATTAGGTTGCGCCTTTAGATGTAAGTCAGTGTTGTTACTGTATTCCTTAATGTAGAAAATATATGTTTTTAAATCTCAATTTTGAGTTATAAACCATCGATACCCTAAAGGCGCGTACAGACGTGCAACAGAACACAGTAACAGCGTCGCACATCAAGTCTGGACGGCAATGCGCAACATCGCAGCGTCTCATCAGTTGTCCGTCGTTTGCTGGCGCATTAAAGAAATGTACGGGCGTATGTTTGGACATTTTGGCTAGTTCTAGGATTTTTTCTCACGTAAAAGGAAAAAGGGATTTGTTATAATTATATAGGGATTTTTTAAATTACGTTCATTTGCAAAAAAAAATAATTCTAGGAAGAAAATATTAAAATATCGGATTACATAAGGCTAACCAGTAGAAAAGAGCCACAATTTGTTAATGCGATTTCAGTCGCACTAAACGTCTTTAATTTCCCGGAAATAATCTTTACTGGGATGAAAAAATCAATACACCTGCAGTGAGTGTGATTGCAACTGCTCCATCTACATATAAACTTTGTCAAGTACCTATTTAAATTAAGGCTTGAATTTAAAATAATAAATAAGAAGAATAAAAATATTTCGTAATATAAACTGTTACTATTGTAATATGTACTGTTTCCAATAACGTTTTTTTGTTTTCCTTATCACTTTTTATTAAACGTTTTTAGTTATAATTTTTTTTTTGAAGATCTAGGAAAAACTAGGGATTTTTTAAGTGAGCATCTGGGGATTTCAATTTTAGTGATCTGGCATCACTGCCGGAGTTGTTGTTTTTTATCAGTGAAAGCACACTTTTTTGTTGTGTTTTGGTCTGTTAAAGGTTTGTTGGAACTGATGGGAAGGATTAATGCTTCGTGATGATGATACGCTAAGCTTTCTGTTCGTACATCGTATTTTCTTTATTTTCGTTGCGCAGCCAGTTTACGCGACTGTGTTCTGTTTGGCATGTCTGTACGCGCCTTAATGTTGACAAGTCGTAATTAATAAATTCGTACAGGGGACACAAAAAACTTTTAATAAATTCTTGCTCGTGTAATGTTTTATTTTTTAATGTTTATCTGTTGTTTACTTATGTATTTTTATTCCTTCCTATCTGTTAATAGTATATAATAATGTACGAATGTTCATCTTTGATGCAAAAATATATTTTTTTAGAGTGTTTCGACCTATCCGCAGCCTCTCTTAAGTAATTTGGATCGTTAATCGTCTGCTTATCTTGAACCATTCCAAAAATATTAGAAAGAAAATAAACAAAGCCATCAACTAGTAAGGATATTTTATTTGCACAGGATTATTCGCAATTTAAACAAAAAGCTTGAAAACATTTCAGGCAAAAAATATCATAAAAAATGTATATCTGTTGAATGAATCAAGATAAACAGACGATTATAGATACAAATTACTCAGAAGACACGAGGCAATATCAGATCATACACTTTTTGTCTGAGCTACCCGATAATACCAGCAGATCGATTTAAACTATGAGCAAGGAAACATGACCCTATTTAAACACCCTGTACAACATGCTTATTTCGTTTTTTGCTTATCTTGTAACTTAAATTTTGTCCACTAATACAGCTATGGTTCGATAAAAAAAATTATTCACATCCGATCAACGACGAAAAAAATATTCATAGTCTCAAAAGTTATGGAATATTTAGCCTATGGGTTAAATTTCCAGAGCAGTGTATTGAAAGGGGCATATTTCATAAACGGGTAGGTTTGTGGACCATGAACAAGTTATTATTACCAGCATTTGTCCTTCGAAAAATGACTAACAAAATATATCATTCAAAATTCTGGAAAGTCTTGAGATAAAAGATTAAAAAAAAAAGAACATACAGCAGCATTTTTGCATTACCTCAAAAGCATGATTAGAAAGAAAGCCCAAAAATGATACAAACTTTTAACTTTTTAAAACTTTTTAACTGGAAGTATAAAGCAATTGTGACCATTTCATTTTTGCAACGCAAGCTAATTTAGGGTCACAGACAGAACGGTGATGATTAATTAAATGAATAAAAGTGCAAAACAATAAAACAAGTTAGCAACTGTCACATATACAACATGCATAAACGTTTTTGGTCTATTTAAAAAATTTGCCCTTCGAAAATAATATAAATTTAAAATATGTTGATTTGATAACTAATAAATATTGATATTGCAAACTATCAGCACTTTCCTATGCCACTTGTTGAAATAAAAGGGCAAATTTTAATAACAGAACAGAAAAAAGATATCAAGATCACTTACTGTGCTAGGAAATTCAGTAACGCAAGAGGTGTGCTGGGATCAGACCTAAGAGGGGGACTAAGAATGTGACCAGCAGAATACTGAAAACTGTTATGTGTGCAGTGGCTACCGTCCTTAGAAAGTCCGGCTACCAATGCTTCACCATACACTTGGATATTATTTTTACGAGCCAAAGAGATCACCTCAGCTGCTTGCTTACTCATTACATGCACTACATACAAAGGACAATCTACCTATAAAAAGCAAAATCGATAAAAAAAAATTGTTAACTCAAAACTGTATGACAAAGTCATGCAATAATCTAGCATCACTTTGTGTCGTTCAAAAATAGAAGCATGCTTATAATACAATATAATAACTTTATAGGTTTTAAATATAAATACCTGCTTAGCAATAACACACGCCCTATTCACTGCCTCTGATTCTACCTCTTCTGGTCTAGAAAGTTCATGCCCTTCTGGGCCTACAATCCCTTTGGCTAAGAGCCTTTCTACATTTTTGGCAATAATTGAACCATTTTCAGCATGGACTTGTGCTACGGCACCTAATTTCTGGCACTGTTCGAATGCGCTATATAGTTCTGCATCATTCAACATAAAATTGTAAGCCATAAACATTTTAAAAGAATTGATACCTAAAAAATATTGGAATTTTTCTTTATAAAAAAACACAAATCAAACAATCTGTATTATTACCGTGATCTTTACAAAGTATCTCCATTTCTCTTTTAACTTGTTCAGACCAATGAGGTAGACACATATGGAGAGAATAGTCACAACAAACTTTATCGTCAGCTGTTTGACGATAGTTGTAAAAACAGTCTAAGATTGATTCTCCTGGTTTTGGAAAGGCAAAGTCAACTAAAATATTTGTTATTTATTATAGATATTGTTCATTATCACCATTATGAGCAATATACAAATATAATCCTGAAATTGAAGATAAAACGGCAAATTGCCGTGCTTTCGAAAAAATGCCATTGAACAACAAAACCAACTTCTATATCTTATAAAAAAGAGTTTTAAAAAGTGTAGTTTTTCTAAAAAAAATTTTTAATAGGCAATATACAATTTTGTTCGCGTTGGGCGAACTAGTTCCAAATCGCATTAAGAGCAGCTTTTACTAGCTGACTATTTTGAACAGCATAAATTAATTCTACACTTACTAATCATAGTGGTACCGCCAGCAAGAGCAGCTTTCGTTCCCTGATAAAAATCGTCAACTGACTTGGATCCCATAAATTCGAACTCAAAATGGGTGTGTGGATCAATACCTCCGGGTAAAATATACTTTCCCCTGGCATCGATAGTTCTTGTGCCTCCGGGAATAATGAGATTCCTTCCGATTTGTTTAATAAAACCATCTTCAATATAAATATCATCCTCCGTAATGCCGTCTTCATTTACTATTTTGCCATGTCGAATCACTAGTCGATTCTGAGAACTCTGAAAAAGAAGGAATATATTAGATTATTATAATCTTATCCATTATATAATTATTATTTATGTGCGACTACTACTATAAACACCAGGTCTGGTCTGGAATACCAAATCTACGTTAATTAAGACCTTTAATATATTTCACCGGTTGTTAAAATTCATTTGTATTCAAGGCTTCAATAGTTTTAGTATAAACGTTAAGTTTGAGAAGTACCAGACATTTTGCCGCAAAAATAATTGTGATTACATATTACATAATGAGTGCTTAAGTACAGTGATTGACATCATTATAAAACATTTAAATATGAAAATCTGAAATAATAAAAAAATTTAATTGAAAACATTATATTGTGGTATGATATACAGGGTGATTCAAAATTGACGTATTCATCTAGGAGTGTTTTAGGAGTACAGGAAAAATAGTAATAAAAATAATTCTTATTAAAAACAGAGATTTTTGCAAAAAAGTAGATCAGAAGACCCGCATCAATGTTTGGTTGCTTCTTAAATATGAACAGCTCAAGTAACCATGGAAAAACACAGAATGTGACAATAAAATAGATTAGGGTGTAAACGGTACATTCAACAGGATTCGTTAAATGTCGAAATTCCACTTTTTCGAAATATCAATACTGTCAACGATGAATTGTTCCTTTATTGTCACTATAACCCCCAATTGATGTGTACAAACATACATTTCTGTGTTTAACCTCAAACAAGTTTGTGTCCGTGTAATCACGATATTGTGCACTCTTCTCGAGCAGCTTCTCGTATTCAGTTAATTAATTCGAGCTCAATTTGTACCGGTGTTCGGTAAAGCAGAGATTAATGCGGTTCAAAATCGAAACAAATGTAAATTTAAACTTAAAATTTTACAAACAATGAAGAAATGTTAATATTCAACAAGCATTCGTATATCGTCATCAACGCATAAGGAAAATACATATTAACATCAATTTATGCTTTAATGAATTAACATTGAATAGTTCGGCTTCAATATAGATTTTCACTAAATTGGACCTTAAAAACTTAATATGCACAAAACCCGAAAAAATCTCAAAAAGTAACCTGGTATGCTAATGAAACGTTTTCTACAGTTGTGTTCATGCGAACACACTTATAAATATTAGTGACTGCTAAGTGCCGTTATAGGAAATACTTATGTTGTACGGAAGTATGTGCCTCGTAATTGTGATCCGGGCCCCAGTAGCGCCTCAAGAAACAGATTTTTAATGAATACCTACTATGCATGTTACAGGCCGTGTGTAAAATGGCCGGACTCAATATATCAATCCATATGTGTAACAAACTTATCCTTCAACAAACGGACTAGTCGGATTGTAAAAGGACTCGACTGTTTATGTAAGGTCCATCTTCGACTAGTCCATACGAAAACGGATTCCAGTCCGGTTAAGGCAAACTTTATACTGTTTTAGTTTTGCCAGAGAGTGATAGTCTACTAATATCTGGTTACACACAACGAAACACAAAAACGGACCAAGGAATAACGGATAAAGCAAAAGAAGAACCATATGAAAAGTAAAACAGTATACAAGTATACAAAGACAAAAAAGTCACTTATTATTAGCGCTTATTTCGTGTTCACGCTGTTGCAGTAATACTACTTTATTAGTCACCAACATAATAATAATAGAACTCACTTATTTTGGACTTTATCATTTTTGCTGTTTTCTTGATGACAAACATCCTTTTGCGGTTTTTTAAATGTCCTTTTGATGAAGTAATAAATTATAAAGGAAATGGAAAAATATGGCGGTCCCAGAATCCGTTTTTTGCGTTTACCGGTATATACCGATTTATTCGATGACAATTTCTTTGATTTAAAATTTAAATTTTATTATTTCTAATTTTAGCTTTGAGCTTTTAAATTTATTTTTCCAGCAATTAAATAAATGTGGGTATCGTCGTTAAAGCGGTGTGGTCTTCAATTCTGTTGGCCCTCATATTTGTATAATGTATGTGGCGATTAATGTGCCAGAAGCTCGATCAAAACATTAATATATAGCTTAAACTAAGTTTGAGGAATTTTTGTTACACTATGTAAACTAATATTACACAACAACATATTTCAGTTGGGAGTGTATTCTGGAGTTAATGAGAGAAGGGAATGGTACGCGTCAATAAATCTAAATTACAAAATTACTTCTATTTCAGTATTTTGAAAAACTTCAGATTTTTAATAAGATCATACGGAAATCAAATAGTAGTTTTAGATTATTTCATTGTTTTGCTTGAGTGATTATTACCTTTCTTCTCTATCTAAAAAATCTAAAACTTCTTTAAATCAAGACTTTTTTGAGAAAACTGCTAACATTTCTTTACTGATGGTTCACTTTCTTAAAAGGACATTTAGTTCTCTCCGAAATTATGTAAAAATCAGCGTTTTTGCACATGTTGCTTCCGAGAGCAAAAAAGGGACGGAAATCTGATATTGAAAATTTGCTTCCTGGGTCAAAACTTCTTTTTTTCTTCTGACTGAAGATGTTATGGCAAAATGGAATTTTCAATTCTCTATCCAACGATACCAAAACGAATTATGTGGCTCAAATGGTTCTTTAGAAATTTTGAAAAAAGCAGCGTCCTGTTTGAGTCGACCGTTTGAGTACTTAGTTAATCTATGGAGTCCACTGCCACTGAGAAAAAAACACCAAATTCGAAAACTTCTTGAAATCAAGCCTTTTTTGAGAAAATTGCCAACATTTCATAAACAAGTATTGCTTATGTAAGTGGTTCGTTAATATCGCCCGACCAATTAGTCTAAATAGGTACCTAGTAGCGCAATAATTGTAGACGTCCTTTGCAAACTTTTTAATGTTTAAATATCGCATAAAACAAATTAAAATGGCAAACTAATTGTGTTAATGTAAATGTATACACTTATCTCTATGTTCGTTCACATGCTAATAAAAGTTGTAACCGTGAATGACGACGGTAGTCAAATGCACAAACATTTAGTACAGTACACTTATATGTAATTAATTGCATATAAAACCCTAAACCATATCCAGTCGTTGTGTTACTTACTAGGCTCCGATAAAAATAAATCTGGGAAACCTAAGCGGTTGAAATAGCTGACCTGGTTTTCTATAGATCCAATTTCCTTTAATAAACAAATTTTGTAACAAGATAAAAAATAAACTGTTATTTAAAAGGCGTTCAAAATATCAAAAATAATTTGTTATTTAAAAGATGTTGGTGAAAAAATCAGACATCTATAATTTAAATGCGAAAACATCCCAAATCCAGAAGCCAATGTTATCTGAATAGGCAAAAGCAACATAAACAACGTACTTTCCGTATCTGTTCAACTGAGTTAATTATTTATAAGCCAGCAAACTTAACTAAAAAAAGATAAGGGTTTATTGAATGCTCACATTCTGTTGAAAACTAAACAAGATTATGTTACATCGCTATAAATTATAAACCAAAATATATCATCGAATTCAGTTTATAATGATTCATGTTAAACTGGAATTTTAAGGTTTTCGTTACACCGTGGGAAATAGTATTTAATGAATACCAAGATGATTTGCACATTGGCCGAAAGCCCCTTTGTATAACAATAATTAGACCTTCTTAATAGATTTTAAATTTCATCATTAAATTTCTATTTCTAACCCAAACGTTAAATAACGCTTTAATAATAATTCAAATACCCTGTATTTTATAATAGCCGGAGCCTAAATCATTAAATGTTCAATCAAAGTTTCACGATAAACGGGGCGTCTCTTTAACAATGGATCTGTTACCTGAAAATCTTAGGAGGCCAGTAATTACTACTGACCATAACATAATGTATTCCTGTCATTTTAAATTCAAATCAATTAAGCAACGAAACGCTCATGCATGTCACCATATGAATCTCCATTAGCTTAAAACAGGAGTTAAAAAATTATGTAGATATATGCAATCGACATGCAGAGTAGAACAATTGTTTACTATACGATTGATGTTGAAAAAGATTTATTAAAAAGGTTGAAATTTATTTCTTAATAAATCCCAAGCGAGTGGAAATATAATATGTATCGACCGATAACTGTGACACGTTTTCGTTTGTGTAAACAATAATTTTACCATTGGCGTTCATATGGGTCCGAAAGCATATATTTGAAATAAAAAAATGGCACCTAACAGTTTTTCAGAACATAAAAAACGCTCGGTTTTCGATGTCATTTAGCAGAAAATTATGTCTGGGCATTTGTTCGTCCGACGCCCTGTTTTCCATACGAAAAATTAAATACTTTAATTATTGCGTTTTATCGATTTGCTTTAAAAAATCCTCAATTAACGCACTTTAACCAGACCGTAAAAAAGCTTCTATCAAAGAACTGGCCTTATTTCCAGAGGTGTTCTGTGATTTTCAGGTCTTCTGTACGTCCTATCATATATAAGACCTAATTCTTCAAGCACAAAAAAGCGACGAAATCTGCAGCTGTTTATGCTGCATTTTATGCATAATCTAATAAATTTGCTCATTTTCATTCTCTGTTAACACTTTAATAACGCCAAATTTTAGTCTAAAAAAGCTTAACTTAAAAAACTGCTTACTACTAAACTACTGTGTACTCGCTCTTTAACTGTTACGGTTTTCCTTTTAACCATATTTAATTTCTTGTGTAATTTTTTTATGTATGTTTTTCTATTTACTTATGTTAGTTAATTGTTGGATAACGTACAATAAATGTTATTCAAAACGTTTAAATTGCGATCACATAATTTATTGCTCTAACCGTATGTACAGGTTTGATTAACTGATTTTTAGACAAATACGAACAATTAACCTTTTGGCTGTTTCGCACAACGTTTATTGCGTCAATTTACGGTGAGATATTGCGGTGATAATCACATCGATATGATGTGAAGAAATCGGCGACTTCAACCTAGGGATGGGAGAAAAACATCGATGTAATTCGTTCGATGGTCGATATTTTTACCATCGATGTTGGAAATTTGGGACATCGATAAAACATCGATGTCCTGAAATGAAAATATCGGACATTTGATGTTGATACTAGATAGAAACATTTCCTGCGAACTCTTTGATAGAGCCCATACAAACGATACCGCGGCATAGCGGCCTATTTCCAGCTGCATCCGAGAAAAGCCTCTTTTTGCAGTCAGTTGACCGAAAAACGTGGAAACTATAAGTTGAATAAATTTAGTCGATTGCTTAGCAATGTATTGTTTTCAAATAATGTCATAGTAGTAGTAAAATAAAATTATTTAAGTTTAAGTTAATCAATTTGAAAGTTGTATGTAACGGCGAACTATCAGGACATCGATGTTTCCCTAACATCGATATTACGTTTCGATGTCAACATCGATGGTTACCATCGATGTTATAGGATCGATGTCCCATCCCTACTTCAACCTATATACGTGCCACGCCTTTTTCATGTAAATATCATATTGGGTGGTATATAGGAAACTCATGTTCCGAGTACTTGACTTGTCTTTAACAATTAGAACTACTAAGTGGCTGATGAAAATTAGTTTTTCCGTGGCGGTTTAAGAAAAATAAGGAAGCAAGAAAAAGAGTGCCTGGCGCCCCCTGGCCGATATCTTAGACGCAAGTGCATAAATATGCATAATACAGTTGAAACAAATTTACCACCATCAAAGACTCACTATTTGCGCAAATTGAATTGAAATTTAATTTAGAACTTAACACTTTATATTACTGAATCGTGTATAACTAGATTATCTAAGTAAAATTCTTAATTTCTAAGAGTATCCCCTATTTACAAATTGCAAAAAAATGTAAACGCGATTAAAAAATCGAAAAACAGTCAGTGAAAAATAGAAGTAAATCTAAGAATTTTTCTTGAAAATAAACGGCGAGAGCTATATTTTTGAGCACCTATCCTTACTATCAAAAACATGATCGATCAATTTTTTTTCTCATTTGCATTTCTATAGTCTTCAACTATACGAACTGAGACCTCTGTTAAAAACTAGATTAAGATTTGCTAGAACAGACACATTTCAAATTATAAAAATTAGTGCAGGATACTAATTAAGGAAAAATTTTACTTGCAATAACGACAAAATATATTTTCCCACCATGTGCACTTCCCACATGAAAATATGAGGAACTGTAACGTTTATAAATAAACAAGTGACAATAAAATAACAACCGGTAAGACGGCTGCACTCGGTCAATAAAAGCTGACAAATATTACGCCCTGGTTAGAAAACATGCGTTATATAACTTCAGTAATTTTTTCTAACAAAGGTCCTTTCCGAATGTACGAAGGACAGTTAAAACCCTCTAAACTGCTCAATTAATTCGGCAAAACCAAAAGTGTTTATGATTTCTTATGCAACACACCTGTAACTGCCCAACAAAAAAGCTATCAGTATTGCTTACCTGTAGATGGATAGGCACCTTCTTTACAGGAGTACTCATATTGGTCCTGTCGGATTTCTTTCGATAATCACTACTACTATTTCTTCGATAGAATACACTCTCAGACTTTCAGACGACAGCAATCGACGCTACAGTCCACACTACTCGACGCGCTCTGTGCCTAACTCTGAATCTAATAATCTATATTCTATTTCTATAGCCTTACTACGCCGTGAATCAACGACCTTTCAGCAAACCATTTCCTAGTGCGCCACTGGTTTGATGGCACGTCTGCGCGAAACGGAACTAGGGTTCCCCTCGAATTAAAGACGGAATCCCTCGATTAAATAATACAGTACAGTCCGAATATAATGGTCCGGAATTATAAATAAAATATAGAAATAAATGCAATAAAAACAGGTTTACTATAGGCCAATTTCTTATAAATGAAGAGTAATTATTATCTTCCGTTTTAGCATATAATGACTGCCATTTTCTATGAGTATGACAATTTTGTGTAAATAACATATCTACTATATACTTTATCTACGACTCTACAGGGATTTTATAGTAAATGAAAAATCTCTAACTTTACTAATTCCTTCAAAAAATGTACTTTCTACTTCGATATTTTGGTCATCGAATTGTTCAGGATTTTTTTGCTATGCATGGGGTCCCTGAAATGACAGGCCAGGACTGAAACAGGGCGATTTAAGCAAACTTATTAGAGGTGTGCTAAACGGTTATTTTTCTGGAACGGGTTACAACGTTACAGTTTCACCTTGGTAATAGGTTTTAAAGTGCGGTTCCAAAAGGAACATGTTACTTTTTAAATTTTTCATTAAAAATGCAGAATGATGATTATAGTAGAAATAGTGATGATATATAATGGTTTCCTTTAGAGTAACTACTTAAAATTACTCCTTAGAAGTAACTACTTAAAGAACAAAAAACTGATAATAAACCAGTGATTAAATAAAATACAGTAAAATCCGCGCTTATAATGAACCCGGTTACAGTGAACTTTCGGTTAAAACAAACTTTTCTCCTTTAATTGAAACGTCATCCATAAAACCCAACGTATTTTTTACTGGTTATAACGATCCCGTTTATAACGAACTTCCGGATATAACGATCACTTTTTGGGTTAGTTGTATATTCACTTTCCGTTTATAACGAACTACCACGCTCAACAACAGCTCAACAAACTCAGATGAAGATGTGCACAATTTTGTCGAAGAACAAGTTAAAACCAAATTGAGTGATTTCAATTTCTTCGAATATGTGAGCATTGATAATAGCAGTGTTACAACAGAAATGTTGACCGATGAGCAAATTATAGACGCCGTAACCTCATCCACAGCTTTAACCGATAATGAGGAAGATGACGATTTAAGTGAAACTGACACTAATGCTGTTCCAACCATTTGTGAAATGACAAAAAAGTGTCGAAAGTCGGAATTTTCTACTATCAAGTTCCTAATCATATCTGGGAATCATTTTGTGATCTTGAAAACTACATAAATAACATCTATTTTTGCAGCAGAAATGTACAAACAAAAATTGCAGACTTTATGAAGTAGATTTCAAATTGTGTTTTGTTTATCTTTTTGTGTTCTTTTTTGTTATACCTGCCAACTTCTACTACTATATGTAAAAGTAACGAAATAAAATACACCACGTGTTTTTGTGTTATTATTCGCTTATAGCGAACTCCGGATATAACGAACCAGTTTTAGTTCATTTTTCAAGTTCGTTATATCCGGACTCCACTGTATACGGTTTATATGCAAAAACGTTTAAAAATAAATTAACATTTAAGAATAAAATTGTTTGCGGATGCTTTTTACTGATTCTAGTTCTTCGCGCGTTTTAGATAGCACCCGCTTTAGAAAATAATCTCTCGCATTTCGTTTCACAATAAGTTTCACATTAATATTAATAATAATAAATTAAATAATCCACAATAACAACAAACATAAATGCGTGTTTGGCAAACCTGGACGAAGTATTACTCGAGTTAATTTTGGTACCACAAAAAAAAATATGTCGACCCTACAACGTTTATTACAATTCAAATTACTTCCATTTCATCTCTGACTGAATTTATATTTAAAAATGGCCAGCTTGCTTAAATTCAGGAGCACATTCTGCTAAAAACGGTTGTTATTTTACATTTCAACTGTGATGGATGTCTTAGACGCTTAGTTTGCTCATAGCTCATATGCAAGTGTACATCCTGCTTAGTTTGCTGGTAATGGGCAAATAACTCCCGAGCTAAGTTTCTTGGGAGAAATCCCTTTTTTTAAGATTTATTACAGAATGTCAGAAAACTAAATACTTATAGACTAAAAATGCTGAATTATATCATCGCAGCAACTAAACAAATTTTCGCTGGTTCCTGGAGAACTGAACAGTAATTCTTATAAACGAAAAGTGATACACAATCATCAAAGCAACGCGCAACTACATACAACATAGTTTCCGTTGACAAATGAAACTGCTGCAACTGGATAGAGCGAGAGCGCTCGACGATGACGCATCGGTTCTGTGCTGACGCGAACCACTTTTACAGGTTTATGAGACGGTTCCAAAAAAAATCTTTAAGTCGGCAAACGGCTGTAGCTGGTGCGAAGTGCGCACAACTGTTTCTGTTTTATGAGACGGTTCCAAAAAGAACGGTTTAAGTCGGCAAACAGCTGCAGCTGGTGCGCAGTGCGCAGTTCCAAAAAAACCGGTTAAATCGGCCAGCTGTAACTACGGTTTCCGGTTACACGTTTGGAACACTGTTATTTTAGCGGTTACGTTAAATACCGACCATCCCTAAAACTTGCCCATATACATGCTTCAGTTTTGTCGCTACAGGGCGCCAAAGTTCTCAAATTAGTATCGTTTTTTGTTACCCCTTTCACAAATAATTGAATTTCTTTTTTGCTCCCAGCTGTTTTCATTTAAAACTTTTTCGTCAGACCTACAGTTTCTGTACAAATAATTATTTACGATACCTTGCAAATAATCAGATTATTAATTATTCCAAACAAAAAAAACATAGAAAAAAATGATTTTGCGATTTAATGGGCTTGTCAAATCTGATCATATTGTCGTCATGCGAAAATGGTATGTGATTGGTATGACGTCATGCGGCACGTCGGCCTGCACGTAGCCGATACCAGTGTAAAGCTGGGTTCTCATAATTCCAGAATGTGTCCGGAATGCGGAATGCGGAAAGCCGGGTTCTCAAGAGTCCGGAACGCGTCCGGGATGCGGAATGCGGAAAACCTTCCGACCAATCAGTAGTGTGCCGCATGCGTTAGCTCCGCCCATCCGCAGAAGCATCCCAAATTTTAATGTTTTCCGCATGACAAGTACTTGTCTCTGCTATTGAGAACCAAGATTGAGTCAAAACCCGTCGTCACGTGGACCATTTAGCTCCGGCCCATAGAGAAAGTAAAATTACTTATTTATTTTTTTATTTTATTTACTTTATTATTTTACTTTCTCTATGCTCCGGCCTATTTCTGTGATATCGTATCGGCTCCGTCTACTCATGACGTCAGAGCAGTCGGGCAGCCTTGACTTTCGGTGGTATCGACAAAGCTCGCGTCACTGATTACCAAACTCTACCATTATCAAACTCGTGTGTTTATTTAAATCGTATGAACTTTTGTACAGTTAGCTCGTGTTGTATCACGTGTTTTATGTTGTTGTTTTATTAGTTTATTTTTATTGTTTTGTGGATTATTGCCCAAAATGGCTGATGAAGGATGTTAAAGCATCAGATAACTAACGACTCGGAGATTCGTTGATGGTGGCGGAGTTTTTAAGACAAGCAAATTTTTTACAGTGCACGTTGAAGCAATGCACCTACTTGGAGTAAACGCAGAATAGAAATTACAAACACATTTTGATTTTTAATTTATTACCCACATAAGTAGAAAATCAAATTGAGATTTCTTAGAACTTGCTTATAAGTAATGTAAACTCGAAAAAAAATGCAAAACTGTTAGTTAACCATAAATAAACAGAATAAGCAAACAAAAAAATCTGTCCAGAGCCCATTTTTCAAAATGTTTAACCGAACACATAAATTAATTATTTTCAAAAAATGAAATTGTTTTTAAAATACTGCCACATTGAAAATTATTTCCAGTAACTTGGCTTCTATAGCGACGGCCAAAGCAAACAGATTTGAATAAGAAAGACCCATAGAAAAACATCTTGTAGCGACGTTAAATCGGGTGATCTTGGTGTCCAATTTATGGATGCATCGTTGCCTCTTCCGATCCGTCTATAGATGTTTTATTTAAAAGTTTCGGGTTTAAAATATTTGCGAACTCTTGATAGTTGGGAATTCTGCGGTTTGGATACCATAAACTCTGACTCTTGCGTTCATTTCCTTCACATAATCCATATACAAGAAGCATGTCAACTTCCCCGGCGTTCCATTTTTGAGAAACAAAAAATACTAAGTTTACGATAAACTTCTGTTCAACTTCGCTCAACACCAAAAACAGTAAAAACTATCGATTGGTCAAATGTACGAAACAATTTGTTTACATTAAGTCAAGCAGAAACAAATTTTTAAATTTTATGACCTGCAAGGTATTGCAAATAATTTTTTGTACAGAAACTGTATGCTTGACGAAAATTTTACAAGTGGTAAAATAGCTTCAAAGGAAAATCAGCTAATGAAGATTTTTTTTTATTATTTATACAGTGGGTAACAAAAATACAAACATTTATTAACTAACCAAGCATTATTTTTAATATTTACACGCAATAAAAAAGATCACGGTTACGCCAAAACACGTCAGTTGCTGATTCCAAAATTTGTGAAAACCTTTATGACGTTTAGAAATTATTTGGAAAAAACCGATATTAATTGGAGGATTGCGAATTTTTTTACTAGGAAACTTTAAGATCTGACGGACCGGCAACAAAACAGAACATTTTATGGATCTATCGCAATGCATTCTGGTAAACAGAAAACACCGTGAATCAGATACTAAACGGTGAGATGTTTTTGACTTAGTTAAGCACGACCAATGTTAATTCCGATAACCCATTTCAAATCCTGTTAGAGCATACGAGAACACATGAAGAAAAATGCAAGTAAATGCTACTCAAAACTTCAGAATTCATTTTAATTTGCTATAATAAAACCTGAAACTGAGTCGGTCGTATACACCAGGAATATATTAATCTGCTATAATTATTATTAATCTAACTAACTAATCACTAAAGAACTATGAGGTATTAACTAAAAATGCCCTTTTGAACAAATAACATATAACGTCTATGCATAAAACAAGACCTTTGACTGAACATATTTACTAAACCAACAAAAATAATCTATCAATTAGCTTTCTTAATACTTTCTTTAACTTGTTTTCTGCTTTCTAATATTCTTTTCGGAACCTCAGTAAATATAAGAGTACCCCCAAATACTAAAGCTGTTCCAATCCAATGCGCTGTAGTGAATGGATTTTGAAAATAAACGATACTGAAAACCAATGACAAAAACTTCCGTAGGGTAATTACTAAAGTGACAGTTAAGGAGGTACATTCAGCAGTCAATACATAAACAGAGCTAATGCAAAGATATTGAGTCAGCACATTTAAAATTAAATATAACCAAATTACTGATATTACGATGCTAGTAAATGGTATCTGGTACGGATCACTGTTGGATGCTACTATCGAATGGTTCCATATGCTGCCGGAATATAGCAGAAATCCAGGAAGTGAATATAAATGCTAGAAATAGAACGTTAGTTTTAATAAGTAGAGTAAATATGAATACATAAGGGGGATTATTCAGTTTTTCAGTTTGGATCTTTTTGGATTTCATTATAAAAATTAATTATGTTGTTTAGGAAGACATATTATTATTCCAAAGTGCCTCAGAACTGGATGTTTTCTTTAGGCTTAAACCGGGTCGCTATAAGTGATGTTTTTAAGCCGAATAACTAACAAACTATACAATTCTGTTTCATATTTTCTATAACAAAAAGTAATTTAATTTTATATAATAATTCAAAACTGTTGGTGTTCCATCCAACTTTTCTGACACACAATATGTCGATCAAAATTTGGAAACAAGTAATACCGATCATCAACTTTCGAGCATCGAAAAAGGCTACCTCTTCTTATCGAGATCCAAAGGGTTCAAACTAAAGAATTCCCTAGTAAAAGAAGAAGTTTGTTTACCGTATAATATAAGGCTTCTTCAGGGTGCTTTCCATACTTCTTATAGAGCGTTTCCTGGTAGATCCCCATTCGAGCCGACAGTAGTAATGAACTTGTTAATAGTAAAATACCTACCACCCACCAAAAAAATTTACTCGCATCAACTGCTTCATTTTCGAAACCAATATTAGCTGCTATATTTCCCTTAATATCACAGTCATGGCAGATCTGAAAATATCCTTATTGTTGAGGATTGTTTAAAATATTAATTGATTGATGTACCTCAACGTCTTTGGATGAGTAAAATGTACAAATTATTATGCCAGCAGTTATCATTAGAACAGATAGATATTTGTCCCAGGTATACGATTTTTTTAATATTAAAACAGACATTATCAGGTTGGCAATCAGAGAACCCTAAAAATATATAATAAGTGTCTTGGTTAAATCACTAACAACTGTACTTACTGCCCTAAAAATGAAATGGAGTGGTACGGGTATATTGAATGCAAATGCCCAATTATTAACAACACTCGTGACGAAAAAAAATGCCACCAACGTCATGTACTCCTTAAAGGGCACTTTGGGAACAAGTTGTCCAAATTTGGACGTAAATATGAAGCCATGTATAGCAATAAAAGCAAACTGAAGAAATGTGATTAAATGACCCGCGCCTGGATCCAATCTGAAACAACAGAAATATCACGAAAATGTATCCAAACAGCAAATTGATGTACATGTTTTCAAATCTGAATTATGCACTTATTTACTAAGTACTTACTTAACTATGTACTCGAGAAACACATTATTCAGCATGCATCCTAACAATACAGTGAACACTGCAATCGAAGCCTTCGCATTCATGTCGGGATTTGTCTGATGTTTGTTTCAGGAGAAATTGGGATAACACTGCTATTCCAAGTGATACTTGACTACCAAAGGCAGAAAAATTGTGTATTCGGAATGCTCACTTAACTATCACTGTGTGAAATCAGTTTGTCATCTTTAGCTGCTGATAACCATATTTAATTATCCTTGACTACCCGCCTTTTATTTGCACCCGTCATCCTTAAAACTCATAAGTTAAGGACATAGATACTGATCATAGAACAAGATACTAATTAATACCGTTAAGGACAACTTTGGATTAGGGTTAACCCCGTTAACCCTAAAGTTGAAGTTTTACCTGGCAACATTGCTCAAAGTGACAAATTGGCTTATTTTCCGCTTTTTCTTCCCTAACGAACGTTTATCTTTAAATCCAGTCGTTAGTTTCAGTTTGCCGTTATGTACATTTGAAATATACTATTAATAATATAATGAAAATAATTAAATATGGCTGAGTCATTTGAGAATAAAAACGAGTCATTTGAGCATAAAAACGGGCTCCAAATTTTTCCTTTAAGGAAAACTTTCTGCTAGTCCTTCAATTTGTTTTGCAAAAAAATTTCACAGTGCTAAATATTAGTGATGGGAACTATCGAATAAAAACTATCAAACCATTCGATAGATGTAATTTACTCAAATTATTCGATAGCGATGTTTCATTCTGTGATAGAAACTATCGAATAAAAGCCAACGAGTTATTCAATAGCTGTAATTTGAAATGTTATTTGAATTATTCGATAGCATTGTTTTCTAATTTCGGACAATCAAATAGCTTTAAATCGATTACAATGAACAAATTCAAATTTTAAATAAATTAATTTGTCCCTTTTTAAACAAATATATTCAATATTCATTTAATTGATACTGTGTTTTTTATCAAAAATTAATTGATTAAAAAAGTGCTATATGTATATTTCCATTTTGAATAAGTACCTACTATTAGCAACAGGCTTAAATCAGACTCATTTGTACTGAGTACAAAATTGTATTGAGTTTTTACTATACTATTTAAAGAAAAGTAGGAAATGCAAAAATAAATATGAATAGTTAACAAAAGAAAAGAAAAATAGATCCATGAAATAAAAATTAAATTAATAGTTAATGTTTAGCTTTGATAAAAGGAAAATACCTATATTTAAAAATCAAACTTTGCGATATTATTATTAAAAATATGATTGTATCTAAATTTTTTGAAGACTATAAGTTTCTAATTTAGAACTTTTCGACACGGCACTAGATGGCGAGCACTATTAAATGAATTCATTTGAATTATTTTATTCGATAGTTGCAATCATTAATTTAGTAATTATTCGATAGTGCCCCTCACTACTAAATATTAATTTTAGTAGAAGTTTAGTAGAAAATATTAATTTTAGAAAACTGCGCGCCATCTACCGGGGCCAGGGCTGTCAGGATTCTCGAACATTAAAATATTGGGGCTACCGCCAATATATAAGCCTTGTTCTATGGGGCTACCGCTAAATGCGCGTGCACTTACGAAATCTGAATATTTTGCGAGTTGCAGCTCACCAAACTTCTTTTTTTACCTATTCTGGATATTTCCAATAAATCGAATCAAATTGAAAACCAGTACAGACTTTAAGCTTAGTGATCCATAACTTTCTGATAAACACACTTTACCTGAAATCTAAATTAAATTTTTTGCATATCTTTTTTGGCACGCAAAATATCGCAAAAAGTAATGTGCGATTTTAAAGATTAGAAAAGACTAGACAACAAATGTGCTATTCACATGACTCAAAAAACCTCTTCGTTTAGGAGCAAATCGACATAAAAGTTTTTAAATTAAAATGGATCGAGATTATTCAATTCCAGCTGCAGGACTTTTACTCATTGAGCCAATATCTGTAGTAGGGATAACAACCGGGCATTATTACTCATATTTTAATGTGTTCATTGATGGATTTTTCCGTTTTATAAACGGTATTTTGTGTGCGAGTAGACTGCTAATTAACTCTGCGGCGGACGTTTAAAAGACGGAACTTTGGCAAATGTTTCGTAATCGGTTTTATAGAGACGCACTGATTTCACTTTCGCAAAGATCAATTCTGTGACTCGATTGTTGATCAAATATATAAAGACAATTTCTTTCCAATTAAAAAGTTTGACATTCGATAAATAAACTACATTTCTTCCATACTCTCAATTAAGCCTTTGGGAACGATTGAGGCAAATTGTGAATGAGTCTGTATTTCACCAGCTCCATATTCGCTATAAACACCAAATTATTGCCTCCCCGGAATAAACTCGAACATACCACAGGACTATACAAATTTGATCCAACTCATCCAACCGACCAGTTGCTACTTCGCTTTATTAAAACGTCTTAATTTTTTTAAACATTTATTATTTTTTCATATGTATTTTACATGTATTCATTCGTATTCACATTCATATGTATGTACATTACATTTTCATATATATTAAACCGAAACGTATTTAAAGAAAAGGAATATATTGTGATATCGAGATAAATAATCCAGCCATATTGTTTATATTAAAATTGGAAATACAGTAAGAAAAAATTACGTGATCAATAGTAGTAATAATATGTCTCTAAATGCTTTCAGCGATGTAAAATATCTTATAAAAACATAACTTTTTAAAATTCTCAAACTTGCATTATAAAAAAAGTAAATTTATCAATTATCTACTAGTTTTAACTATTCTTATACAAAAAACACCGTTTGAATCCTCTAGACTCATAGGTAGAAGTTTGGGCGTAAAGTGGATGCTTGTTATTCAGTTGATCGTCCACCAGTTTCAGCATTTCTTCGATGTGAAATTCTCGCTGATGTCTTTCAATTACGTCGCAAAGGCTTTGGATGTACCAAGTGCCGGTTTCTGGATTTCGGCTCGATGTATATCCTAAAATTTAGTAAATCTAGGTAAACTTCTGATCCAATATTTAAATTATCGGTGTGTCTCTGATCTGTGAAATGCTGTTTCTGTGTGTTTCAACACAAAACATATGGTTAATTTAGGCAATCGTTGACTCGATTCTTAATCGACTTCTTGAAACCGTAAATTTGTTTATAGACGAATTTAAGGTTTCAAGAAGGCAAAGACCTAAAAAAACGTTGATTTTTACCAATTATGAGTTTGTAAATTTTAAATCTGATGTTGGCGCTGTTGTCTTGCCGAAACGTAATGAAATAAACGATTTTCAAAAATTTTTACTTTTACACTCTGACTGAGACCCAGGAAAGATAAGAATATCATAACAAGTACACGCAGTCAGGAAAATAAATCAGAATTCAAGGAATGGTTACGGAATATTTTCGTTGCGTTCTACACACGTTTCACTGAGGTTCATTGGTTGTTTTGGATGTTTTGGCGGACTTCTAACTTCTGTGATAAAATATCAAACTCACTAACTTAATATGGCACATTTTCTTGGTTGCTCGAGTAATATTTAAAGCATAGATTTTGCAGATACATTGAGGTTTCATGATATTAACAGCAGTCCGTAATAATGCAAAAATATTATCTAATATATATTTTATGTGAAATCGAGTATACTTACCCTACATTAACCGAATAGACCTAATAATTAAATAAGCTACATTCAGTATTAACTTAACATCTTCAAATGTTGAAATATTAGGATTAGTGAGGGCACTAATGATGGAAGAAATAATACATGTACATACCTGGCAAGGTCGAAAAGGCAATCAGAACGTCCGCATATAGTTTAGTTTGAGCTTTGATAGGAGCGGCATCATGACAGACAAGTAAACTTTTGTCGCCTCTAAAACAAAATTTGTGCTGTTTCTTATCAAAATACTTACTGAGGAACTGTAATTGTTGTTACCTGCAGCACTGGAAAATAAATATTTTTGGTTTTCCTTTTAAACTAGAGTGGCAGTTTTCCAAAGTAAACTGGTTGACAATAGTATCCGTTGCAACTTGCGTATTATCCACGCCAGATATTTGAGTAAATCCTCCTGGGACAGCCTTTACTTCATTACCACTCTGCATCAAATTATTGCCGTGACTCATAATCACCACCAGTGATATAGAATGGCGATTGAAGTTGGATTGACTAAATTGTTTTACACGTTTCAACATGTCCTAAAAAGTAATAATTCGGGAGTTTTTAATAATGAAAACAATAAACAATTTATTGCAATTATAGGGCAATAACATATTGAGCTTGGACAACTGCGAAAGTGATAATTACGCAGTGCTGACTATACCTACTATTCCTATTTTTGCTGCTCAAAACACATGCAGCAATAACAGAATATCGACGGCTGAGGGGAATAACCGGCTTAGGCCCGTGTCCCATGCATCCGTTTGTACGATGAGACGATGGTGCGAAAGTGTTTCTATTGGTTGGAGACCTGTCAATTCGTACAACGACGGACGATTTGACAGATCTCCAACCAACTACTGTCATGGTATTAGATGTCACCGTGTAAACGAGCTTTAACATTCTTGCCTAGCCAATCACTTGTAAGTGAGTTTTTCCACATTATTATCGCCTTTCATCATAATAGTAACTTACCTTTCCTGATAAGTTATCTTTGTGTTCCACTTCAAACCCTAATTTCTTCAATACTTTATCCAGATCCTGAGAGTCTTTCTTGGCACCTTGTCTTTCCTTGTTGCGATCCTTAAATAGTATGTTGTTGATTAACAGCGCTTTTCCTAAAAGATGTTATGATAGAAAGACACACTTCTGAAAAATCGAGTATAAACTGACTCAATTCTGATAAATGAATGTTAAACTGCTCCCCGCAATTTTTGCAATTAACATCAAATTATTATGTGTATTTTCAAACAATAAGGATAATAATCTCACCTAAGTTTACAGTAGTATGCACATAGGTCGGTAATATACTATGGTTTGAGGCAACAGATGCAGCTTGAATTGAATTTGTCGTGCGTATGGGTTCCTGACTAACTGGGACATTCCGCAACATGGGCTCTGTCGACCGAAAGGGGCGACTTTGGTAGGTATTCAGGGGACTTCTGTATACCGTAGGTCTGTTTGCACCATACGAAGTTAATACGCTCGGTGTGGTTTGTGTTGCAAAAGGAAGAGCATCTGTATGGTGATCTATATCAATTTAACAAGAATCGAATTAATTCGATACACTTTTAAAAGTATATCTAGTTAATAATTTCACATTTTCATAGAGATGATAGGAAACTATATCTATCAGTTACTTTTGAGACAAATATTGCAATTAAATAAACGCTTGTGAGAAATAATGCCATTATAGATAAAACAGCATACCATTGCCAGTAGAGGGAAAGTCAAATATGGATCTACCAGGAGGTCGAGAACTAGTATTGCTTATAGCCAGAGAAACTCTTGCGCTGTGGAAATGGGATTGCGACGAAACTTGTCTGGAAATTATGGAACATTGCGGATATATTTACATACCAAATGCTGTTAAGCCTTACCTTGATATAGAATATCCATTTGTATGATGCTGAATAGTCGTCGTCGTCGTTGTAGATGTTGCACCATTCGCGGGCGAATCACTAAACAATTTGCAAAATTTGAAAAACCCCAAAGATCATTTATTAATTTTATCAAATGCAACTTATTTAGATATAAACTTCTTTACAAAAATAAAGTAACAGTATTTGTACAGTATATAAGTATATTTTATACGATCTGAAATAGATTGAATATACGAAATAAAGAACAGGTTTCGGTATTACTATATTTAAGTTTAACTCATCTGACGAGGGAAAATAGGCCCAAAACCAGCTTGGGGGTGCCTGAGATTAGAACATCGCGAAATCTGCACTTGCTGTTATAAACTCGTAACGGCTGTGATTATGCCGAAAGTTTTCATTGTTGGACATACTTTATGTAGGTTCTTTTAATATAATTATTTGAGATCGAATTAATTAGTTTTTTCATAAAATATTATGTCATATACTATTTGAATCTTGCACATACAGATTGTCAGTAATCTAGGTGCAACAACGTTGTCTAAGTATTCATACTTGTTATTCGGGATCTGTAATTTAATTGAGGATAAACTTCACTGCATTGAATAATTTTTTATTACTATTTAATTATTATTTTTTTAGTTTTCCTTGATATATGGATTCTGCTTGTTTCATATGTATTTAAATGGTCTTCAAAGAATCACGACACTAAAAATAAAAAAAAAAAAAAAATAAAACCGCCGAACTGCCAAACGCGCTTTTTGTTTTTTTAGAAATTGGAGTTTGCCATGTCCTACTGAAAACATGTGTACTAATGAAAAATATTGCTACGTAATCAACGCAGTTAGGATTAATATGTAAACTGTTAAACAGCTGTGAAATTACATTCATTTTCACATTTGTGAAGAAGTTAAAATGCTTCTTATATATTTATATGCAAATTTGCGTGCTTTTATATTCGGAAAGTGGCGTACAATTCAAGGAAAAGTGACAATAAAGCCCATGTCCCATGCATCCGTTTGTACGATGATACGAAAATGTTTCGATTGGTTGGATATCTGTCAATTGGTCTGTCGTCGTACGAACTGACAGATCTCCAACCAATAGAAACACTTTCGTACCATCGTACCATTGTATCATCGTATAAACGGATGCAAGGGACAGACAGACATGAGCGTCATTATTTTTTCTTATCTTTAGTATTTCGAATTCGTTTTCGTACCAGCCTTATTGCTAGTTTGTTAAGCAGCGTAATATTGGCACTGGCTCTTGGCGAATCCATGCATGTGTAAACTCGCCATAAACCACAGTGTGGAAACTATCGAATTCGTTCCAGGCTGCGCTTGGATTTTTCGAATATTAAATAACACACATCCATAAATTAAAGTAGTTTTTGCTATTGCACACTTGCTGTAGTAATAAAACTTCTTTGTCTTAAATATCTCAAGTTTGAGCTCTGAACTCAGTATCTAAATTCTCAGAATACCGGGAATATGATTCACAGTATATCTGCTGATAAAATCCACCGTTTTAGGTAATCCTTTACAATACAATCTGGTACTAGGATTGCTGCTTTGCCGAAACAACGGTCCCCGTGATGGTTCAGCTCTTTGCGTCGGCGTGTCAGTCAAAATTTTTCGCGTAGTTGCCAGTACTATATTAGCACTTTCTTAACATTACCACTTGCTTCCTTTTCATGTACACAAATCATTTAATATACTTAATAAAATAATAAAATAGATAGTAATTAGTAATACCCAGATGATATATTTTCACTACTTTTACGATTCTCATCATAATTCCAATTAACCCGATTAAGAACTCACACGCATTCATAGACATCCATAGAGAAACCAAAGCTGAAAATACTTTATTTTATTTTCTTTGCATGCATGCACACTAAATTACGCGCACAATCATATGTATGAGCTTATCAGTTTCGTCTACTATTTTCTGTATGGACGTAATTCTTCTAAGTTTTCAACCTTGAATGAATTACTTTTTTGTTTTCATTGAAATTTTCTACTTTGGTGGCAGTTCGGCAACATGGCTGACCAGTATGCAATTTTTGGCTGCGCGTACCACAGGAGACTGTACCGTAAAGGATTACCCTTTTGGTATATTGTATAAAATAATAATTGATTTAATTTGAGATGCATTTTTTAGGGATGGGTTCAGATCAAAGTTGACAAATATGGCAGCCGATTACCGCAAAATAAAAATAATGAAATATGACTCACCCTGTGTTTTTTTTATTCTCCTTGTCTTTCTTTCGGCCAAACATTTTCAATACTTTTGCTCACTTCTGAAATTGCAAGAACTTTTTACAGTTTTACAGAAGTTTTGCATAAATGTAGTAGTATACACATATAAAATCAAGTGCTCGATCACACACAACAAAGACTCGCTTAGTAGATGAAATGTGTTTGATATCTTATCGGTTATCAATGCGATTACAGAGGTACCCACTAAGAGCAAATTGTCTCTTGCACCAACAATTCACAACGAATTACTTACATAGTTTCCTGTGTTAGCTTAAAAAATTAATTTTACAAAATGTTAATTCATAAAGATTCTTTGTTTACCATTATTACTTTTGTTTTCATTTCACGCACTAATTGAGTTGTGTTGTATTTCACAACATCGAGGTTATCCTTATTCGAAACAATTTTTTGACGCGATTTGATTTACCGCAAGGCTTTCATTATCATTGGTCCGCATATAATTGTATTGATTGATTTTAAGCAGTTACAGCTCCATAAACCTAGGAAAAGAAAAATGAGGCCCATCAAATAGAATTTAAATAGTTGTTCACGTATCGGTGAGTTCGACGTTGATCCGATAGATGCGCGCCATAATTTGCTTCAATGGCCAATGAATTACCTTTGGGTTAAATGTCAGCCGCCCCTATTTCAAGATTTCGGTGGTAAATTTTCCAACTTTGACATCGTCGGCACAGTGACAGATGCTTACTGCTGCACGGATGACAGAGTGTACATTGGAAAGTATTGCATTCTCACCAGAGCAGTTTGACGGAATCAGCCACCAGAGGCGTAGTGTTTATGGCCAGAGGGCTGATCTTTTCTCGGCATTTGTTTTGCAGATCTCAGATATCAGATCATCATCATTCAGGTATCAATCATTAGCCTTAACGTGTTTGAGTACGACAACTTTTTACTGTTTAAGCTCTAGAATATAATTGTATCTGCTATATTGCGATAACTGTGAAGTTTATCTGAGCTTATGGAATGTAAGGGAGGTTGGTAGCCAGGCACCCGATTAAGTGTTGTGTTCGTAATTGTGATAACAAAAAAAAATGGTGTGCGTCACGGGACGCTCGACAGAAGTGATAACTTCATAAATTAATAGAAACCATAAAATATTGAACTTGTTTAACGCATGATGGCAATAATAATTTTATTTTATATTTTTAATATTCTTGTTAGTCTAATAATTTATAAATGGATCAGGAATAGGTAAAATTTAATTTAATTTCTTTTTGAATGTAAAATATCTTTTTTATTTGCATCATTTAACATTCTTTAACGAGATGTTGTACATATTGCTCTTTTCGGGTTTGTGTAAACTCTTCTTCTTGGGTTTCTGTATTTTTTGTCGTAATTTCTTATTTGCTTTGTATAATCTTTGACGTTCAGCACTAGTTCGTGGTTGATGAAAGCTACTTTGAGTTAATCTATTACTTAATGCTCCTCTTTTAGCACGAAGCCGTTTTTAGCGTTCAGCATTACTTAATACTTTTCGCATTATAGCATGTTTTTGTGACTGCTCTTGTGTATGTTGTTCATGAACGTCTGCTACAACTTGCATCTGAATAGAACTAAAAAATCAATTAATGTTGGTGATTGGAAGACGTTCTATCTGTTTAAAATAGACGGTAAAACCAGGAAGAGCTATAGAGACAGGATCCACTTGACACACTATATGTATACATAATGTAAGCCATTGCGCGTATGTTAAAAAAAAATTATAACTGAACTAATCCAAGGCTAAAACAATTTAACTAAATTGAGAAGATTTAATCATAAAGGAATCAAAGAGTATATGAAGGAAAAAATCCATTTTGATGCGTGGTAAACACAACTAATCATAGAAATAATATAGAGAATTGAAAATAAGCCCTAATGAATTCGTTTCACATATCTTGCAACTATAAGCTGAAGGGAGATTCGTATCGTCTTAACATCAAGAATGCGTTGCAGGATAGAAAATAAGACGGAACCCATGTTTTCTGAAATAACCGAGGTAAACTCAAATATTTTTTCATTTAAATTCAAAACATATTTATTATATATTATTACAAAACAGTAATAACGTTTATCATTTTATGTTAAATATGGAAGATTACAAAATAGATATCTAAATAGTGATAATTTGTTGTTACAAAGTAAAATAACAAATAATAGAACATATTATTGCATTAAAAGTTATTAATAATAGTTGTGACACTTTATTTGCACTTAATCTTGAGCGTTTTTCATAAATTGACCCTGCCTTCTTCAGAAAATATCCGCTCAACATCTGGTTTAACAATTGTCTCCAATGAAAATCACTAAACAAATAGGTAGTAATATTTTACCAGTTCGGAACTTTGAATCGTGCAATACAATGCAAATGGACATCATCTGGGAAGCATCTGGACTACAGACGGAGAGTAAGACATAGGGAATTGGTACCGGGATTGTATCGATACGATTTAATTTAATTTATTTTTTCTGCAAATTGATGGACGATCCGCATTTTTTTGCACTTAAACTGCTTTAGTGTGTATAATTGTGTGTGTACTTTAATTGGAAATTTAAAAGAAGGCGAAACTCGAACAGGCATTTAGTACATCAGCACCCTTTACCTAGTATTTGCAGTATCTGCAGCTTCTCCCTTGATAATTTGTTGATTCATTGTTATCAGCGTTATAAAATAAACTGCACCGAACCCAATAATATCACAGTTAATAATTGATAAATCAAAATCACTGTCAGTTTAATAACGCAATGTGTATTTGAAAAGTTTATCAGATCTATAGATGCACCCGCACTAAGAGAAAAATGTCGAAAAAAACATAAAAAAGTGCATATGTGCGTCCCGGAGTGGAAGAGGCCGGAGTGGGAGCCGCCGTGACCGAGAAAAATCGGTTTACCCTCTCATAAAAAGTTATCACTTCAAAAAAACGAAGACAAAAACAACCATCAGGTAACAACTGAACATAAATAGCTGGTAATAATTTGGATATATTTGACACTTCTGTATATTGGTTAAACATATTTACTATTTAATGTGAATTATAGATATTTCAAATCTGTGGGTACGTACATTTTTCCTTTTTTTGAAACACTAACGGTCTGACTCATGTAACCTCAATACTGCTACTAATTGCCTCTCTAGGTTTTTTACTTTAATAAATAACTATTGTAAAGAGAAATGCGTATGCTTTATTTTCCCAATTAATTTTAATTCACTTGATGATCTCGGCGATCTCTGCTTAAATTTCGATAATATTTCAAGCATTTGATTGCCCTTTAATTGTGATGTTCATTGAAGCACTAGCATAGACATCACAATTAAAGGGAATTATGAGATTCTTGAAATCTTTTGGAAACTTAAGCCAAAATCGCAAAGTTGAAACCTGAATTCAAATGTCCCGCGTCATTTTGTTGTGATCACAATCGGTAAAGAAGTTTTCTTCTGCAAGCTTCGATTCTAGTTTGGAGAGCAGCCGCTGGGAATAAAACAAATCGCATTCTACAGGTTTATCTTGCCGTTTTCAATCTATAATATCTGTGGGATGCTGTTTGGACGCTTCACGCCTATGAATCTAGTCGAGACTTATGTACACAGCGTTTTCGCTCTTCTAACTATCGCGAACGTTAAAGCAAGAATATATGCTACTCTTAAAATCGATTCTCAGTTTTTCAAACCCTAGCCCTAGGAATTTAATAGGTAGCTAGGGGGTATCAAAACTTAATACTTAATTTTGGTGCTACTGAACATTAATTAATACGTATTTAATATTTAATAAACAGTGTAAAATAAACTGTGTTGTCAATCTTCTATTCATTCATCAAGGTGAGAGATTTCATCTGATTAGTTATTGTTTGCCTTTACCTATTCTTTGTGGTGTTGCTCTTCCCCTCTAAATCAATCCAGTATCTTTGTATACTCCTAAAAATATTGTCCTCTTTCAAAATATCTTGTTCAAACGCTTGTTGAGACTGTGTGCTTTACTGTTTTGTTTACGTTCTCATATATGTATGTATACAGGGTGGCCCTTCGAAAACGAGACAGGGACCTTTTCGACTATTTAGAAATTCATATTTGAAAAATACTTGAGATGTAAACTTTATATGCGAGAAGGACGAGTTTATGAACGAATGTCGCTCGTTTCACATCAACTCCCCAGCCGGGGTGAGTTAAACCCCCAAAAGTTTAAAGGGACAGTTCGGGCGAGTATTTAGTAGTTTTCCAGAAATTTGAAAAAAAAGATTTTGCAAATGTAATTAAATCAGCAACAAGTGGAATGCTTTGCTAAAATTATTAATTAACAAATCAATATAATAAATAGCACAACGCCAGAAAAATTTGGCCCTTTTCGCCATTCCCGATCGTATATCTTACTGAACCTGAGCTACAGTAGACTTTCATTAAAAAACTTTGTTCGAAGATGTTTCCTAACAGAGAAAGAAGGTGTTAAGTTTCGAAAACAATGTTTTTTTTATCATACTTTTTTAACCATCCAATAATAGGTAATACACTACGTAGCTATTGAAATAGTTTTTGATTCAAGTGGCGCGTTAACTCGGGAGGCTCCTTTTCTTGCCCCTCCTACCTGTAACGCCACTAAATATTTTAAAACAAAAAAATATTTTTTCGTTTTGCCTGAGACAAATTAATTTAGTTTCGAATCCCGCTCGTTCGCCTCACAATTTGAACCAACAAAATCAATAGTCTTGGATATGAGAAAATCAGCGAGTAGATCTGAATCTGCAATAGCAAAGCGTAATGTTTGTAAAGTAATTTTAAAATCTCTTCCTAAAACTCTTAAAAAAGTCTTCCTAAAACTGTTTGCACCTAAATGTTTCGCCACGAGGCAAAATCGCTAATAAACCTTGTGCTTTATTCATTTACTCAATTAGCTGCCAAACAAGAAATATAGTTGATAAATATTTGATCTGCAACTGCACTTGAATAGCAGATTAAATAAAGTTAAAGTTTTTCCTATTCGCATTAAATGGGCTATTAAAAAGAGGTTTATTTCTTTACTTCTTCTTGCTCCAAACAAGCGAAATGGGACGTGTACAGTGGGACAAATAAATCAGGACGTTATTATAATAATTAACGATAATTTGATGTAGCTGCAGAAAACATAACAACAATTAACTTTGTTTTCAGTGACAAGGAAATCAAAGCACAATATAGAACTCTAGAATGAATTGTTACAAATGGTATATACATTTTCTAGTAAAACATCCATACATCCTTTTACTGGTTATTGCTGCAATATCATGTGCCTGTTTAATTGCACCCTTTACTTTAGAGAATATGAACAGTTTCGACTTTCAAGATCCTCAAGCGGTAAGAACATTTTTAACTAGATATACTAGTATATAGTTGATTCCTTGAGTGATTTGGTATGGGTCAGATTTGGAAAAAATATTCCTGTGCAGGATATTATGAGTTTTGGATTGTTAAATAACCCAATTATTTGGAAACATGAAAATTACGCATCACTGATATGTTGCATCTTATTAAATAGCGCTTTATACATTTTATCGATTATCAACAGAGGACTTTAAAAACAGTTGCTAAATTGTTGATGTAGGTATACCTGCGTTCTAACTATCTTCATACGTTCCCACACTAAAGCATGTGTCCCA